GTAGTGTTCGTTGCATTTTATGTTATTAATTACTGAACAATTCCTTGAGATTGCTCATCAGGGAGAATGACAGTTGAGTTTAAAAAAATAAATTAATTGATAGTAGGTCTCTAATAATTTAAAAAAATAATTATAAATATTAATTCAATAGTTATAAATTTAAAAGTTCAATTGTATTGTATCTTCCAATTGAATACTGTAGTGTTTGTAATTTTTTATTAAATGATATTATAATTTATTTTACATAACATTTTATTGAGGGATTTAACTATCATTAATTTATCATTTTAAAACTTTATAGTCATTCTCCGTTATATTTACACTAACCTATTAAAAAACGCCACAAGACAAACAATGCAGAATATATATTTGGATTGGGTATATCATATATCTCTTCCTACCAAGAGTTATTAAGTATTGTAATATTAGAATAAAAACTACTAAAATAAATGTCAAACAGCATATCTGCATTGCTGTCTAATATTTATATAGATATGTGATAATAAAAATAATTCAACTAAAGGAGCTTGTTTAGTGCGTGCGTGTGTGATATGTTCAAATTTTAGCCAGATAAGTTGGCCAACTAACAAACAGATACTGATGGCTTTTTTTTTTTTTTAATTCATGATGTGAATTTGAATTTTTCCCCAATATTGCGTACGGTGGCTTTCTTAATATTACGAAAAAGGTTTTGAGTAAATTACTGATATTCTCTGTTTTGAAGGTCAGGCACACAACTTGTCTAGCATTCTGATCTATACTGTAAATATATTTCCTTTATTTTGTTTTCACAAAAATTTGATTACAATAAAATTTATAGTTTTATTCTTAATATGGTAGTAATTAGTAAAAATAATGAAATAAAAGTACTTAGTAAAAATAGCTCATGTGAAAATTAAACTTGATGATAAAAATAGATTAAAAATTGGATATAGTTGTTGAAATGTATAAATAAATAAAAATTAGTCAAACATTAAAAAATAATATAATTTTGTTTAAGAATTAAGAGTTAATAACCCCGTATAAATAGCATTAAGTTGAGGCAAGTTGGCAGAAATAGAAAAAAAATATTGGATTTAAGAAGTTGACTTTTTGCCAGTCATTAATTTGTGTAATGTGCCTTGGTACCAAACTGTCTGTATTTAAGGAGCAAGGAGGTGTTGATGCTGCGCAACCCAATCGATAATTAATCAGATTCGTGTGTGCCTGTGTTATTCAGGATGGCCATCAGAGTCCTACTTCTCCTTCTTGGACTCTCATATATTCTCTCTGTCTCTGCTATTCCTGCAACTAGTAACTATCACATTAACTCGCCGAACCTCTCTTTATCCGCTTCTCTTTCCCGCGTGTCCGCAGTACATATTCATTGACTCATTTCTTTTGCTTTCCTCGTTATTTAATGAAACCCAGACTTTGAATAGACAAGATACCTCGGCTTTGCCATTTTCAACTCAGGTTAGCTCTGCTCTACTCTCTTTTTCACAGACACTAACACGCATATTCAGTACGTACGCGTGTTTTGTCCTGCGCAATTATTGTTAACTTGTGCTAATGAAAAACACAGTCTAAATTGCAGCGGAGACACTGGAGTTTGAAAATGGTGAGGAGGCAGAGCCAGAGCAGGTTGATATGGACGCAGGATTGAGAGAGATCAGGAGGATGGCTTTTGAAACTCAAGACTATGGAGGAGGGGCTGAAGCGAATACGGTTCATGACCCGCAAATCCCAGCTTAAGGCTCTACCTCCAAACTCTATATTTGTTATTGCTGTGTCCCTTGTGTGTTTGTTTCTGTTCGCAGGATTGTATTTGCAATGCTGTTGTGTTCAAAAAAAATAAAATAAAATAAACAGGCCGTGTCCTGCAGCCTGAGGATTTGATAGTATGTCAAATTAATGCTAATGGTTACTGGGTGGTTGCAAAAGAGAATGTTGAGTTTGTATTTTAAAAAAGCCTAGCTGCCATGCCAAGCAAGCATGAACAAGCAATTGTGGATCCAACTTCGCCACACTTTGACTTCACGTGCAGGAGTTGACTTTCATTTTAGTTCTCTTCGAATGTCAAGAATTTAAGAAATAAATAGACAAGTGAGCATAGCTGATTTGTTCTTCATAACCTCATATATAAATGAAGTGGAACATGGAAAGGATATTTAACAGCATAGCTGATTTGTTCTTCATAACCTACATATATAAATGAAGTTGAACATGGAAAGGATATTTAACAACATCGATCCATCTTGTATGCAAGAGGGGCATGTATGAGAGAAGAGAAACAGGCAAGGTTTATAAGGGTAAGAATAGCAAAATAACACATATCTTAACTAAAAACTTTAAGCTTTATTGATAATTTTTTAATTACATATCACTTGTTAAGTTCAATTTTATTTAATATGAAACTTTTCGTATCAACTTAAGTCCATTTAAGCTTGGACAATCTAACATTTTCATTACATTCAAATTCCATAAAGAATGTTTATTAATTGATCAAACCACAACTATCAGAGTGTACATTCTTTTTAATTTCCTCTCTATTTTGTCATACAAAAATTCGAACCCTTCAGACCAAATTTTATTGCATGCATATTTAAGTCAATCCATTATTATTGACGGCCCCCCATGATTTCACAAGTAAAATATTACCCGAGCATACCGGACTTGATTTAATCAATGATTGGATCACAGTGAAAGAGAACAGCTTTTACTTCGAAATACAATTATATTAGAGTAAATAAAATAAATAGATATGAACCTGGTGCTTTAAAAAATTTGAAGGGTGTAAAATTCTTTTGTCCGATCCTTTTCAGAGCACAACGAGAAAGTTCAATATATCTCTGTGATGCTGAGACTTCTCCGAATTTCTAACAATTATTATTTGAAGTTTCTCTTGCCGACCAATATGGCTCCCCTCAATCTTCTTATTCGGACACGGCAATTACGCAATACGCATTTAATATCGGTGTCATTATCTTAGTCAATCAACATCTACTTCTAATTATACCATTAGTTTTTACACAAGTTGATTATATTCTGCTGGGACTTCATTTGCTAGTGATCTTCCTAACGCAATAACGTATAAGACAAACAACAAAGTCCACTTTTGCCCATATCTATTACATCTAAGAATTCCAAACCCATATGATAATGATATTTTACGAGACTGTGATTCGTCTTCTCCTAGACCCCCTACAATATGTTTGTCTTGTTTCCAGTTCCAAAGACAAAACGCTATGTCCTACAGATATCCTTATCGACAAATGCTGCGCATGTACGTTAATCTGATTTGGGACCTTTGCTTTATTCTGTCTCGATTACTCAGCTCCTGAAGTCTGTAATATAAGTGAAGTGGCAGAAATGAGTTCTCCAACTGGCTGGATTGAAAACGCAATGAAAATGATAGAGGAGGAAGAATATCCCAAGAGAATGCGAAGCCAACTCCAGCTGAAATTAAATACTAAAGAGGGAAGAATGTATTGTAATCCCCACAAATATGTCACGGAAAATCTGAGTATTAAATTCCGTGGATTTTGAGTTGCCCACGTATGCGCAGTGGGCACGCCATTTCCAAAAATTATTTACCAGGAAGCAATCTCGTCAGAAATGTAGGCACATTCATTCGGTCATTCAAAAAGATGTTTCTTTCAATTACCAGTCTCATGAACAGACAGTATAATGGAATCCACGTGAATCACTCTGCTTGCACTTCGATGCCCAAGTAATCCATTTCTTTGTTTTTTTTTTTTTTGGGGGGGGGGGTTTTGCTAATGGAGACATGTAATTCAGTGAAAAGTCCAGAAAAGCTCATCTCATATGCAAAGCACTAGTTACTACCTTTTTGGCAAACTTTAGTTAAAAAAAACATAAAAATAGCAAATCCTAGGGCAACCTGATGTTTTTCGGAGACAACATCAAAATAGAATAACACCCTGTTTTTGTAAAATGGAAAAAAATGTTCACCCTTGAATAAGTAAGAAGTACGTAATTAAGGGGCAAATGCATTCTTTGCTGCCGTGGCTAACTATTTGCACTTAAACAATACTAGTCCAATCAATTTCTAGATATCATACATTTTTCCTTATACATTAAACAAAATTTGATTAAGGAGATGGCATTGTTCATGATTTATTAAGTGTCACTAACAATGGGAGAGAAGTTATCATATATGTTGATATCAAGTGTTTGATCTACGTGTGATAAGCGAGGTAATAGAAGACCTCAATGAAGGGAATTGAATATCTAATAATTAATGAGAACATATTATTGAAACTTTATTTTTACACAGTTCAATCTATTCTAGCATGACCCTCAGACTAAGACGAAAGGAAATTACCTTGTGGGAGAAATCAAAACTCCTGAAGCACCAAGCCCAGGCGTGGAGGGAAAACTACGGGAAAAGGGAAATAATTTATTTGAGGTACAGGAAGACCCCACGACTATACAAGGAAGCTCAGTGAAATAGGGCAAGGAAGCACAGCATCCACTAAGATTTCAGACAATTAGTTCACCTAGTGCCAGCCATGTTAAATCATGATCCTAGAAATCCACAGAAAATTAAGCAGAAAGCTTCTGGCAACATGTCAGTAAGTATCATCGCCATAATCATCTCCATAGTCATATTCCTCCAAATTTTCATCATACAAATAATTTTCCTTGCCCATATAATCTCCATCCTCAAGTTCATCAACTGATCCCAGATGACCATTGTCTTTGTCCTCTAGCTCAGGCTCTAATTTACCATCTTTGTCAGAGTGCAGCTCAAATCGTACTTTCTTGCTCTCCGGAGCCTCCTGGATATGATTTGTTTGAACAAGTGTACAAGAAAAGTGAGGATATTTAAGCGTCTTGATTTCTATCTAGGTTAATCCTCAAAAATAAATAAATAAAAATTGGGTACCGTTATCTGTGTATTTTAAAGCACGGAGTCACAATTAATAATTATGCAAAACCAGTTTCAAACAAAACTCGACTATGAAATGCTGTTCTATCCTAAATCAACGTAGACTCCCCAAGCACAAAACATCTATAGTCAAAACAAATAAATATTTTGTACCAAAAAAAGTCAATATTTTCTTTTAAAAAAAAATTAAAATATTTGCTTCTGTCACTAAAAGAAATAAAATAATAGATCATCATGACCATGCAAGGGCACAAAGCAGCTTCCGGAAATTGACAATTTGACAAGATGTGATGCAACTAAAGCACAGCTGCACAAAGGACACAAAACACCAATAACACTTAGGGCCTGTTTGGTTGGGGAGGAAGCGAGGGGAGGGGAGGGGAAATTTTTCCAAAACCTCCCCTCCCAAATTGGGGGGATCCTCCCCTCCCCTCCCCTCCCCTAGAGCCAAACGCAGCCTTAGAAGATTGACTTTTGTCCAAGTTAAGTACTTCAAAAAACATTTTAGAAAAATGATATAATGAGCATACATATACAATGCATAGTGAATGGAGTATATATGCATCAAATACAAAACATTCCGAGACAAGACTTACAATATCATCAAATAGATTATCCAAGCGGTCAAGATTGACTTTGGAGCTGAGCCTCTGCGTATGATGAATGTAAACAAACATAATTAATATTATACAAACGTTTTCAAAAGATCCTATTCAGAGAAATTAACATAAATCATATTCATTGCTGGCTGAGTTGATTAACATAATAATGCCCACAACTAGAACATAATCGAAGAGAATACATAAAAAGAGATTACTTAGAAATGCAACCTCATCCCTACCTTAATCATAAGAGGACAAACCTTAATCCTGAATCCTAATGGGACTTGCACATGAATCCGAAGTGGAAGACCATTTAAGTACCATTTGCCAAATCCTTTTGCAAGCATACCCTTCCTAATTACCACTACGGAGGAACTCACAGACCTCACCTAATTAGCTTAGACTTTCAGAATGAAATAGCTCTAGGCAACAGCAATGGGAGGTAGATGCAATGCAAGGAGACAGATCAGAGGAGAAAAAAGGAAGAAAGTCAAGGCACATCTAAACTGAACTAGCCCTGATATGTGCGTGTGTGCGTGTTTTTGTGGAGAATCTGAGCTTTATTGCATTTATTTTTCATTGCGTGCGTGTTTTTGTGGAGAATCTGAGCTTTATTGCATTTATTTTTCATTGCGTGCATGTTTTTGTGGAGAATCTGTGCTTTATTGGATTTATTTTTCTGAGCTTTATTGCATTTATTTTTCATTGCGTGCGTGTTTTTGTGGAGAATCTGAGCTTTATTGTATTTATTTTTCATTCATACTCATCCATTTGTACGTTTGGCTTTAATCTGCACCACTATTTTGCTTCACCAAAGCATAGCTGAGTTGATTTTCCAAAGTTTAACAGCATTGACTTCAAGGGTTGGGCTTATCAATGTCGTCAGTTTTTCGCTGTTGAGGAAACGCCTCCTAATCAACATGTCTAGTTGCTAAACATCAATTTGGAAAAGAAGGCCTTAAAGTGGCATACTAATTTCATGAAGAATTGCCGCGAAGTGCATGTGGATTGGGATAAGTATTTCCATCACATGTTTGCATGATTTACCGAGGTTTGACGTATTAATCTCATGGTTGGAATCAAGAACCTACAATAGTGACGCACTGTTGATGAGTATATCAAAGAGTTTGATGACCCTCTCACAGAGGTTGACATTCCAAAAGTTGTGGCTATGGACAGTTTTCTTGAAGGTTTGCACTCTAATATTCACCTTCTGTTGATGCTTTTAAACCCTCATCTATTGCTAGTATGATGCAGATGGCATGAATTCAAGAACGTATGTTTTTGGCATTATATGTGAACATCCAAGCATCACTATGTTGTTCTTCCTCTTATACTCCATTGTTTGGATCGGTACCCACACACTCTTTTCGACTCCTACCTCTGTTTCTACCAAAGGTTCTACTACCGAGAAGTCTCGTTACACAACATCCTCTTTTTCTTCTAATAAGAAACCAGCCATGACTCTGTCCAAGAAAGATATGGAAGACAACGGAAGAAAGGTCTCTGTTATTGGTGCAATGACAAGTATACCAGTAGCCACAAATGTCGTGAATCTCAAGACATACTGCTGGTTGTTCAAGACGATCTTGACGATCACTTTGCTAATGCTACTGAAAATTTAGGCCTGGACATCGATTTTGGCATAGTTATGGGGACTATAAATGCTATCACTGGTTGGGAATGGTGTTCCACCTTAAGGGTCATTGACTTCATTAAATGTCAAAAGGTAATGCTTTCAGTTGACACAAGTAGCAAGCATAATGTCATTGACGCCACACTTAGCCAAATGATTGCATTTGCCAATCCAAAAAGGCCCTGGCATTTTAGTGGCTATTGTTGGGGGCAGACATGTGTTAGTTACCAAATTTTGTAAGGCTCTTCATTAGTCTATGGCTGATTTTGATTGTTCGAATGACTTCCTTGTTATGGATTTAGCAAGATTCGACCCCATTTTAGGGGTCCAATGGTTGAAGAAGCTTGGCTGAAATATCTCAGATATGGAAGATCATTTTATGGCTTTTTATTGCAACAATCGCTATTTTAAGCTTTATGGGATCGGTCATTGTAGTTCCTCCATTTTTTAAGATTATTTTCAATCAAATGACCTACTTCTTGCCTAACATGCCTTCCTTATCCATGTTTCTCTTAATGACGCTGGTCCTCTTTTTTACGTTTTAGGTGCGACTACAAGTAGTACTTGCCTATTCTTCACATGTTTTTCAGGAACCAAAATCTCTACCGCTGCCTCATGCTTTTGATCACCAAATTCATCTTAAGCACAACCAACCTATTAGTTGCAAACCATATTCTTATAGACCTTTGCAGAAGAATGAAACTGAACACCAAATTGACTAGAGGTTGTCAAATGGCATCATTAGGGATGATAATCACAATCCTTTTGCTGCTCCAATGGTTTTGGTTCAGAAAAAAGATGGTTCTTGGATATTTTTGTTGACTATTGCAGATAAGGACATTATAAAGGATAAATTTCCCATTCCTATCATTGAGGAACTCTTAAATGAGTTGCATGGTGCCACCTTCTTTTCTAAACTGGGTTTTAATACTGGTTATCCTCGGATTTGGATGAGGATTGATGACATCTAAAAGACTGCATTTCACACACATGCAGGACTGGGAGTTTTTGGTCATGCCATCTAGGCTTACAAATGCAACCGCCACATTTCAAGGCTTGATGAATTCTGCCACCATTTCTTTAAAAGTTCATATTTGTGTTTTTTGATGATATTTTGATATATAGTACAGACTAGGATTCTCACTTGCAGCACATTGCTAAAACTTTCTTTGCTCCGTGAGCATCAATTGTTTGCCAAAGCAAGCAAGTGTACTTTTGCAGCCATTCAAGTTGACTATTTAGGCCATTAAATGTATGCTAAAGGAGTTGAAGTTCATGCAAATAAAATCACACGGTTCAACAAGCCAACAAGCATTAGAATTAACGAGAATTCTCTGTGGGTGACAAGGTTTTTCTTAAATTGCACCCTTTTTGAAAAAATTTGATCAATAATTCTACCCTCCACAAGTTAGCTGCTCACTATTTTGGGAACTTTGAGGTTCTTAAATGGATTGGGAAGGTTGCATATGAGTTAAAGCTTCCTGATAATACTTGAGTCCACCTTGTTTTCCATTTCTCCCTCTTCAAGCGTTGTGCTCATTCTGCTTCTCTTATTAGTGCCACTCTACTTGTTATTGATGCTGAAAGGCAATTTGTTTTGGAGCCACAAGCAATTTAGGAGCATAAGCTTGTTAAGCGTGTTACTTTGCCAGTTACACAAGTTCTTGTTCAGTGGAAGGTCAACAAACCTGAGGATGCTACATGGGAGGAAGGATTTGTCCTTCATTCAGCAACAATCTCCTCAATTCTCCACAACATCTCCACCTACACACTCCATCCTTGCGGACAAGGATGTTTTCTAGAAGGTCTAATTGTTACGTGTTGATAATACTACTATGGGACCTTTTTCTGTTAGTATGGATAACATTTTTTAGTTGTTCAAAAAAATAAAAAACAATGGCACGTTAGGAATAAGTAAGGGAATATTGGGTTATTATATATACCCAAATGTACTGAGATTGAATTGTCTTTTACTAAATACTTTCCTCTCAAATATTTCTCATACCAATGTGTTTAGTTATTATGGGTAATGGATTGTGTGTGGGCTGCTATTCAGTACCTCTGGCTGTTTCTGTACATAATGGAAGAGGGCATGTTGGCTTTAACCACTGTCCCAAGCAACATGGTGAGATGCGACGTGCGTAGCTCCCACATGCCAGCCGATGTTTCTACTCCAACAAGCTTATGGCAGTATGTGAGAACACGTAAGGGGCTCGGACGAACAATAGCCACTTCCTCCAATGACAACGTGAAGCTTTCGGCCAAATCCATACATGCCCTACTTCAAAAAAGCCCTTTTTCGACACTTTCTCGTCATGTATACCTCGTCTTCTCATCCTGTGCTGTAGCTTTCTGTGTATAAGAATGAGGTTATGGCATCTCATTCCTCACTGTTATGAGATACTTCTTGTGATTGAAGCCATAAAAGTAATAATGTGGGTATTCCTAAGCCTTAAAACAAATGTGATAAAATCTGTACCTCTTCCATTTGTGGCAAAAAAGGGAACTTTTCTTCAAGCATTGAAGTCATCTTGACATTCAAGAGTATGGATTGTTGATTCATGGGCTTCTAATCACATGTCTAGTTGTCATCAATTATTCACTACCTCATGTGCTGGGAATATTAATGTGAAGATTGCAGATGGTTCCTTAGCTCTAGTTGCCAACAATGTTTTTAGAATCGGACCAAATACTGAACCGGAAAGGTTAGTGGTTCATAGTTTGCATGGTTCAACTGGGTTGGACTAATGATCAAACAGTGACGTAATAATTAAATTAAAAAATTATACATGTATATAATGGTCTAAATATAAAAAATAAATATGAAATACTTAACTTAAAAATAAAACCAAATATTTTAAGTTTATCATGACTTAACAAACCACATGATACAACATAACATTAAATGATTAAAAAAATAGTCATTTTCTCAAAAATTTGATAAAAGTAATTAAAAAAAATTTTACAGTCTGATTTTTAAAAATTGGATCCAATTTTCGGTTCGACCGCCTGTCCAAAACAACCCAACCTAGCTCAACACCCAAAATGGTTTTTACATGTTGACCGAGCTGAAATCAGGATCGATCGATGGTCGCACTGGCCCAACCATCCAATCCGATTTTTAAATCACTGATTGCCAGAAAAGGAACTTTAGAATTTGTTCTTCATGTGCCCAAACTTAATTATAATTTAATTTTGATGAGTCAATTGACCAAGCTATCTAATTGCTTTGCTAAATTTCTCCTGTCCTATTGTTTTTCAAGATCTATTGACTTTGAGATCACCTGAGAGAGTAGTTAGCACTCACCAATTGTAAATATTTTACATCTTCCTCAACAAGTAATGATTTTATGTCATGGCATAAGAGAATGGGTCATCTTACCTTCAAAGGTTGTTCCTGAATCTTGGCAAAAACCAAAACATTAGTGGAATCCAGTGTGAGGTGTGTGAACTTGTCAAACACCATCGTATTACCTTCCTTTAAGCCCAATGCACCAGCTGAACTTTTTCCAATATACATAGTGACTCGGGAGGACCATCCCACATTGTCAACCTCACGAATAGCAAGTAGTTCGTTATTTTCATCGATGACCAAACTCATCTTTCTCAGGTTTACCTATTAAAGGACAAGTTTGAAGCTTCATTTGTGTTCCCTACCTTTTATACTATGATTAAGAACCAATTCTAATCTAACATTTAAATTTTGAACACTGATAATATCACTGAATACTTTAACCAGTCTATGAGTTTGTTTCTTCAAAAAACATGGCAACATCCGTCAAAGCACTTGCGTCCAAACACCTCAACAGAATAGAATAGTTAAGAGAAAAAATAGGCATTCTAGAGGTGGCAAGAGCCCTCTCTAGAATATGTCAATTCTCTCTCATAAATAGAATGCCAAGTTGAGTATTATCCTATGAATCACCCTTAGGCAAATTACACAAGGTATATCCAACTTCTCATATTAAGACCAATTGTCCACTCAAGGCATCTTTTGTTCACCTTCACCAAAGTCCCAAACTTGAACCTCAAGCAGGTTGAATGAATCTTTTTGGGCTACTCACCCACACCAAAGGACTACAAGTGTTATGACCCTATATTTAAATCTCCCTTTGTCAGCCTTGATGTTACCTTTTCTAAGGATATCCTAAGTCCTCAATTTAAGGGGAGATTATGAGTGAATTTCAAACTTGGAACATGAAAGACCTAATAGAAATCCCAACTCACCTCCATTCCTTGAGCCACTTGCCAAGTTTAATTATGCTTGATCCCAATCCACCACTAGTCTCCTCCATTACCAAAAATAGAGAAAAATATCAAAACAGGAGATGCAAGGAAATCACAAAAGAGGGAGTTGTCCATGTACAATCGAAAGAGCAAATAAAAAATAATGAGCAACTCATATCTAAAGCACCAAGAGATTTAGAACCAAAGGGAATCCCTGAACTCCCAGATGTTGATCCACCCAATAAGTTAGACGGTCTAGAGCAAGGAAATGAAGCTAATGAACTTGATCTTCCTATTGATCCTAGAAATCAACTTGGCTCAGGCACTCACCACCCTAGAAAGGTTCATATCTTACAAGGCTCTTTCTGCAAGGCTCCATGCTTTCACCACTAATAGTGATAGAGTAAAAATTCCTAGCAATATCCATAAAGCTCTTGAAATACTAGATTGGAGGAAGGTTGTTATGGAAGAGATGAAAGCACTCGAAAGGAACGACACTTAAGGAAGAGGTTGATTTACTGCCGGGAAAGAAACTTGTTGGAAGCAAATGGGTCTTTAGTCCTTACACCAAAGAAATTTATATGACTCTTCCTCTTGAGTTTGAGAAGTAGGGCAAAAGCAACAAAGTTTGCAAGTTGAGAAAATCCCTTTATGGATTGAAATAATCCCCCCAGAGCAAGGTTTGATAGATTTTCAAAGGTTCTAAAAAAGGAGCACTATTAGCAAGGCCGGTTTGAGGGGGAAAAGGGCTTATTGATTGTTTGTGGATGATATAGTTCTAATTGGTGATGATTTTGAGGAAATAGAGAGGCCAAAGAAAGTCCTAGCCTCTAAATTTAAAGTAAAAGATCTAGGCAAAATGCATTACCTTCTCATAAGGAAGTAGCAAGGTCAAAGAAAGAAATATGCCTCTCATAAAGGAAATATGTCCTTGATCTCTTGATAGAAATTGGAATGCTTGGCTGCAAGCTAATTGATACTCCCAATCATATTAAAAAAAGAAAAAAAGAAAGAAAGAAAAAGAAAGGGGGAGGAAGGCAAAGATGAGAAGGAAGAAGGTCGACTGGTTTACAAGGAGAGATATGAGTTTTGTATGGAAGTTGATATACCTATCACATACGAGTCCTGACATTGCTAGCATATGCATTCATCCAAGGAAATCCACTTACAAGCTACATACAGAACTCTAAGTTACTTGAAAAGCACCCCAAGAAAGGGCTTGTTCTTCAATAGAGGGAAGCAATCCAATGTAGAAATATTTAATGATGTTGATTGGGCAAGAGCCTCAAAGGATAGGAAATCTATGTCAGGGTATTGTACCTTTGTTTGGGACAACCTAGTAACTTGGGAGGAGCAAAAAGCACAATCTAGTGTCTAAGAGTGCAGCAGAAGCTAAGTTTCTAGCTGAAGTGCACGAGATCTGTGAGGATTTTTGGTTACAAATACTTCTAAAGGAAGTACAAATTGGCATGAAGTTGCCTGTTAAGCTCTATTCTGATAGCAAGGTAGCCATAAGCATATCTCATAATCCAAGTCAGCATGATAGCACAAAACATGTTGAAGTGGATAGACATTTCATTAAAGAAAAGATCAAAGGCAAAGTGGTGTGCCTAATATATGTCCTGTCAAAGAAGCAAGCTGCAAATGTCCGCCCTAAGGGCCTTCCAAAGGAGAACTTCAATGAATGCACAAGCAAATTGGACATGATTAATATCCATGATCCAACTTGAGAGGGAGTGTGGAGAATCTAAGCTTTATTGCATCAGATGAGGAAAATCAGAGATTGATTCTGATGATTGCATCAGTTTTATTACATTTATTACAACTAATATTATATTACTATATTACATTTATTGTATATTATCGCCATTACTGCATAAATACCCCCTACTCTATACAAATGGATGAGTATGAATGAAAAATACAAATTCAGTTCCACAAGTCTGTCATAAATCCTCAGTTCCCCCCTCTTTTTGGAAATCCAACTAATGGGCCGTAATTGCCATCAGCCCATAAGAACTATCACAATAGCAACAGTCACAGATCTATCATCTTGTGAGCACAACTACCAGGTTAAGAAAACCAAATGGATTATTGTAATAAAACTCAGACCTAAAGGAAATACGGCAAGTGCAGACAGTAATAAAGAAGTCCCTTTAATATTTTCTTTTCTCAAGACCCAATAATTAAAAAAATAAAAAAGGTAAATAATGTGTCCCAAGCCAGAATCACAGCAAAGAGTAATAAATAAGACAGCAACAGCAATAAATATGATAGGAAAATACTTAGGTTTTGATATTAATGAGATGAATAACCGAATCAGATGTACATGGGGACTCTGATTCTGGCCCAAAACCCTATTTCCTCTAAAAGATGATAAAACACTCCAGCAACACAGATTACAAGCTTCAACACAAGAGTCTCACTCCCATTGGCATTCGAGAGGCCAATCTCTCCTTACTATTCCACACTCATTCTTCTTGACCCTCCCTTCCCAAGCAAAAGACTACCAATACCTTCAGTGGCTGACACATAGCCCATACTACCCAAAAGATCCCAATCATTACAAAATATCACAAAATACTGTTCCTTACGGCTATGGACTGAAGGGTAAACTTCTAGACTAGTTCAAGTATTTCCACTAGAGTTATTCTTCCCCTTTGACTTCCTCTGATATGTCTTAGGAAAATAATGTGCCCTATCAGTAAACATAACTTTTGGTCCTATACTTTACTCACGTTTTGCTTTTGGTCCCTACACTTTTTTTTCAATGTTTTAAGTTCTTACACTTTTGTTTTCCATTATTTTCGGTCCCTCTATGAGTAAAGTATAGAGACCTTGAAGGGACCCAAAACAATGGAAAACAAAAGTGTAGGGACCCAAAACATCAAAAAAAAGCATAGGGACCAAAAGCAAAATACAAGTGAAGTATAGGGATCAAAAATTATGTTTATGCAAATAAAAAATAATAATTGGGAAAAGAAATCATATGAATGGAAAGTAGAAAAAGATAACCCCCCACAATAAGAAAAAATGATTAAGCAACAGTTTGTACAATACCTTATTTATCAACATTTTCCGAGTAGCCTCTGCAGCAGATTGTGCAGGCCCTGAATTTTTTGCCTCTTCAGCACGTCTCTGCTTCTTTTCCTACACGCACATTACAAGACCAACAAATTATAGGATTCAGGTCTTGCTGAGAGTTATGCAGCAAAATTAATACTACAAAAGCAAAACTATCCTTATGTTCAAAAGTTGATCATGAATAACAAATCTAAATATTAAAAAAAATTATCATAGGTCACAGTTTCCAATCTACACTTCTACTCCAATAGTGCCACAAAGTTGTTCACGACTAATACAAACATTTGTAAAATTTTTTTAAAAAAAATTTGGAAATAGAAATCAAATGCGTAAATAAGGCTCAGTTCTAAGTAATGTCTATTCCCAAATTTTGTCACCCCAGTTCCACAAATTTTCTGCACCCTTCTCTATATTTTTTGGCTTAACTGCTCACAGGTATGTGCTTGGCCACTCTTGTAGTTTCAAACAAATTGTTTATTGATAAGTTTAGTCACTAGCTCTCTCTATTTTGAACATTATCATGTATGTTAATCAGTTGGCGTACTAAAATGTATGTTAGGCCCAATTTTTACAATGCTGAAAATGATTTCAACAGTCACCTTTCTGGATTTGGCTACAGCTGCAGCAGCAGATTCAGCAAGCTCTTTTGCTGCTCGCATATCCTCAGAACAATTTTGAAAATTTGCCTCAAAAGCTTCCTTAGCAGCAGCAGCGGCTGCTTCCTTGGCTGCTTGCTCCTAAGAATATTGACTTAAATGAGAATTAGTACACATGGAGTACACATGGGCATTAATTCAAGTTAGAAAATGAAACATTTATTAATTTGTTATGCACCTCAAGATACTCCCTATTCATTTCAGTCCATATAAGCGTCTTGTAATGCTTCTCCTCCTCATTGTGAAGGTAGCCTTCAACCTATTCAGTAGTATTAAACAAGTCAACAATCTGAAATAGATAATACAACGTTCAAATAATGTTTTAAAGCGCCATCAAGACCTAAAAGAAAGAAGGGCCAATCACATCACTCTCCTAAGGTTATTGCAAAACAATATTCTACTTCATTTATTCCAAAAAAAAAAATGAAGCTTTGCGCCCCAGTGATCATATTTGACTAACAAATGCCCGTTATAATGCTAATAGAAATACAATTTGTCTAAGATATAGAAGATATTAATTTATATTCTTATTAAACAGGCTATCTCAACTAAGCAATGATTTTTTCCACCTTGACTAAATGGAAACTCTATTGGTTCACGAAGTTGATGTACAACTTTCCCGTGCTACCAAAATTATCTGCCTCATTTCAACTCTAAAGTCAATTTATCTGGTTGAATGCTTTGGGAAGAAACGTACTAAAGAAACGTCTTTCATTATCTACACTTGTCTTTTTTAAACTCAATGGAAACAGAAATAGAAGTAACCAAAAAGCTTTCCCACCGAAGTATGCATGGAACATGAGCACATCATGGAAGATAGTCCCAAGAATTACTGACCAAAATGTGATTAACATCAGATATGTCACACTGAAATCTACAACTTGACCCACCATTTTTCCAAACCTTAAAATTGTTTATAGCCCTAAAAAAAAAAGACAAAATGCGTTCAAAAGCATTCATCAGCCAAGGCATCATAGAAAAAATCTAACATCACAGCTAAGTGGCAGCCAAAAAATAAAGAATGAAGCTTGGTTATGCACCTCCAAATCATCAATATCAGATAGACTTTCTGAATCATCATGAGTTTTAGAACTCGTATCTTCTCTATGTGATTCATCATTCCCACCATCTTTAGTAGCCATTTGCTCAACATCAGCCCCTGAAAATATTTTAGTAAAATTAGGAATAGGAATGAACCAATGAAAGCAGAGATGTAGCCACAAAATAAAAAAGGAAACAGCACTGCCCACCAACACTTTCAAGCCCAGAAGCATGCAACTCGTCTTTCCCGCCAGCACATGCACCATTTGATGCTTTTGCCAACTAACCAAAAGAATATATTAAAATCAAAATATATCAATGGACAATATAAAATCTTTAGAAAGCAGCATCTTTCATAAGCCAATACATAATGTGGCTCACCTCAAACTTCATGCAAAGCATGAGCCATACAATCTAGTTGCACTAAATTTCAAATTATGGCTCTCCTATAATTCTTCACAATCATCTAGTTGTAAGATGGGAAAACATATGGTATACCACAATTAGCATCAGGTTGCTTGTATATGGCTTAAGAAAAGATTGCTTTTACTTAAGGACTAATCAAAATCACAAGTTTCTACTCGCTTATCCATTGGTAAGAACAGATCCTTTCTGGAGTACTCTGGGAACAGATGGCTGGAGATTGGGTAGCATAGCAATAACGAGATTATATTGACAAGAGCAGAAGAATGATGGTTCATTTGTTATAACCTCATACCCATTTACTGGATGTATTAGATTACAACTCCAATGCTTATGAACCTGATGGGAAGTTAAATTTAAGCATGGGCTTGATATTTCTGGTTTAAACATCAGCATCAGCATGTTATTCCTACAGCGTGTGGAGAGGATTTCTCATCATTTCCAAGATAATGAAAATCGTCTCTGGTGGAAAAAACAGCATATACTTGAGGAACTATCTATTGATTGTTTAACTGTCTATGGTGACAGTTCTGTTACAATGCCAATGCAAAGAATCTCATTTCTTTAGATGCAAAATAAACCCAAGAAGAAGGAATGCATACTCCTAAAGGAACCATTCATTATGTACTTACATCACTTGATTGGTTGCCAGTTTCCTCGCAAAGAGATTTTGTTATTCTGTCCCTCTCAGCACGCTGGAATGCAGGAGGATCCAAACCACCATCAAGTCCTCCAGAGAGTTTAACAAACTGCACCAATCAATGTAACTGTAAATGGCAATGATCATTATGGCTTAAATAAAAAAAGTTTAGCCCAGAGAAGGAAGAAACAACTCACATCCTTATAGCATGTTTCACATAATCCATGGGCATAATGTGGGACACCACTATCCTTGTGTTCACACAGTAGATCCTTTGAGGCATGTTCCTCTGATCCACAATTTGGTTTTTCTATAGGAATTTTTTCACGCTCTTTTGCCATCGTATTCAACTCCTCAACCTGTCACCAACAATAGTCCGATGACAAACTTCCACTTTTAATAAATTATTAAATCAAACATGTCAGTGATACTTTACCATGAACAACAGATCATTATAAAAATGTCTTCTATCTTCAGTTCAAAGGAAGCATAAAGAAATTATATTTGAATTTCTAAAGAGACGTAATAGATACTAATTTCATCATAGGCATAACACAATATAAGCAAGTAGAGATGATATAAATGTGCCTCGAACAGCAATCAAACAAATAAAAACTCTAAGAGGAAACAGTTTCAGCTTATGACTATCAAGAAAAAACAAAGCACAAAGTCAACAAATTGGGAAAATTTCAGTGAGGACCTCCTAACCAGACTTAACACATCTGAGGAATTGAAACAAAATTAAAGAGCTAACTGAAATGATCTTATTATCTCTAGTGAAGCTAAGCGCATGAACAACTCATGTATGGAAATTAACCACTAATGTATGGAAAATTAATAACTGACATAGGCAGAATTTGCAACTCTCATTAATAACATAGCACCACTACAAATATAAATAAGTGTAGCTAGGCGCATGAACAACTCATGCAGGAAAATTAACAATTAATGTATGAAAAATGAATAACTGACATAGGTGGAATTTGCTACTCTCATTAACAACATAACATCACTATGAATATAAACAAGTGAAGCTAGGTGCATGAACAACTCATGTAGAGAAAACGAACAACTAACGTAGGTGGAATAAGAGTTGCAAATTTATAGTGATATTATGTTGTTGATGAGAATTACAAATTCCACTTATGTCAGTTATTAGTTTTCCAAACTACAGCTGTTACTTTTCCTACACAAATTATTCATGTGCCTGGTTTCACTAGGGATAGTAAAGTCAATTTATTTTAGTCCCCCACATGTGCAGCAAAATTTCATAATTTTAGAGGTTTTTGTTGAAATTAAGTTTGGTCAAGGGTCCTCACTGAAATTTTCCCCAAAAATATGCAATAATAAAATTTTCATTCGACAAATCATGCCCAACACAATAAGGAAAGTGCATAAATAAATAGTTTAGATCCACATTTGAGCAGATAGGACTATTAATCATTAGAACAAGAGTTCTCATTTTTTGAGATGCATTTGGAAATATGAAAGGCTGAAATCGGGGGATGATATGTGAGTAAATTTACTCTATTGAACAGACAACTAACTACGCATAATTGATGACCATGAGTTAATTTGAAAAAAAAAAAAAGCTTCATTAACGTTATTACATAAAGACAATAGAATGAAGTTCTCAACTTTCTATTTTATTCATCCCTTCAATTTTTTCCCTTTTCAAGGGAAAATAAAATAAGATATAGGGCACCATGTTTTCATGACCAGCATAAAATAAGTATGCGGTAAATCTAATAATTTAATCTAGAGAGCACAACTCAAGAACTTCTATTTAAAACCATGGCAATTCTTCACACAGACCAAACACTCAAACGTCACCCAATAAAGCTTTAGGACCCCCAGACAGAGAATCACTAGAAAAAGGAAGTCCATCATGTTAGGCAAGTCACGTTAACTTTTCAGTGGTTCAAAAGACATAAATAAAACAGTTCTGCTAAACATCATAGTGCGTGCAGCAAATGTCATGCTACTAATTGTGAACTGCAGTAAATGTAAACACAGTAAATTACAATGCCAAGTCATGCCAAATAGTAAGGAACATACAGTCAAGCTTGCAGAGGTTGTATTCTCAAACTCAACCAAACGCTTGGTCAATGTTGCTTCACATACATGGACAATTCTTAGCTGCATAGCAAATCAAAAGACACATTAAACAAGATAAAAAAGCACATTACACATGAGGCTCAACCAAAACATTTGATGTCCTCTAAATTGAAAGCTGTCACAGAAAGAAACAAATTGACTAGCAACAAGTATAACTAGTCTACACAAATCGTTAATACACATAACTGCTGATATATGAACCATTTTAAATAATCAAAAAAAAAAAAAGCTTTAGTGGCAACTTACTTGTAGGCTTGCAGACATTTAAAGTATTTTAAGTAGTAATTGATGCCACAGGCCCTATATATACCAGTAAGCCGGCTATGAAGTCAAGAGGTTTTAACATTCTTGATTGAAGTTATGAAAAATTAAGCATTACACATTGCATTCTCAAAATCTAACAATGAAACCTCAGACTGAATAAAAGCCAATAATAGACAGCAAGGAGAGAGTAATCACAACAATGTAGCTAAAATCAGAAAGGAAAAGATCCAGGGATGCGTCATTTTATTTGTTGACAATTAAGAAATTTCCAATAAGCTAAACAGAAAGCATCAAAAGTCTTAAAGATTACATAAAACTACAAGCTTTCAACTTGAAATTGTCCTTGATATGGTATTAAAACCTCTATGATCTAGTAGTCAAGACTTGGATCCTTGCTACCTCCCATTGCTAAATAAAACTAATTTTTAGCACAAGATTGATAGGCATGCTTTGTCCACACATCAAGCCTAAGTGACATTTGTGTAAGGGAGCATGCATCCGAGATTATGCAAGATGTTTGCAAGCCTTAGCCTAAACTTTTGAGCTGAAATTGCCTTCAACATAGGGGCTGCAGCATGGTGATCAACATTACAGTCTAGACCGTAAGATCCCAGATCTTGCACTCCATTTTCTTGCTAGATCTAGTGGGAGATTGAATTTACTCAGGATTGCAATCAAGATCAAGGGATCATGTTGCATGATCCAATGAGATCATGACAGTCAATTAATTCAAAGAAACAAAAAACAGGGGATCATGGGCTTGTGCAATCCCATGCAATCTTTGAAGGAAGTTAACTTCTTTCTTTTGAAAAAAAGAGAGGAGGGATCAAGTGGATCTTGCGAACCATTTTCTTGTTAGACTTGGTGGAAGACCGAAAATGTTCGAGGTTGTGATCAAAATCGAGGGATCATGAGCTTCCTCAATCCCAATAGCTTCCTCAAGGTCACAGATTGATTTTCTTTTGGTTAGGAACACAGATAAAAGACTTTGTAAAAATTGCAAGGTGATCCCCGGAGATGTTGTAACGACACAAGATAGGGTCCTAGTCCTTGATGTGTGTATTATGAGTAAAATTCAAAAACGTCGACAAGTAGTAGCACCAAGGATTCGGTGGTGGCAATTAAAAGGTGAGAAGCAAGATATTTTCAAGCGAAATCTTTTGGATAAAGGAATTTGAAAATCTCAAGGAAGTGCTAACATCATGTGGGAGGATATGGCTAAAAAAATACAGGAGGTTGCAAAAGTAGTTTTGGGAGAATCAAAAAGTTCTGGTCCGAGAGATAAGGAGTCTTGGTGGTGAAATAATAGTGTACAGGACAAAATCAAGTATAAGAAGAACTGTTTTAAAGCCATACATTTGTGTAACAATAAGGAAAATTGGGAGAGGTACCGTATGGCTAAGAAGGAAACTAAGAGAGCTGTGGGTGAAGCTCGTTCTAAAGCTTTTGAAGAATTTTATAAGAGCCTTGAGACGAAGGAAGGAGAGCGAAATATTTATAAGATTGCCAAGAATAGGGAAAGAAAATCAAGAGATCTAGAACAGGTAAGGTGTATTAAGGATGAAGAGGGAAGAACTTTAGTTACAGATGATGAAATTAAAAATAGATGGGAGACTTACTTTTCTAAACTTTTCAATGATGGAGAGGGTTCATCTAGTAACTTGGAGGATTTAGTAACTGGTGAAGGAGAACAAAATTTGTCATTCTATTGAATAATACGTGATAAGGAGGTAAAGGAAGCTCTTAAGAAAATAGCAAATGGTAGAGCCAACGGACCTGATTGTATATCTATCGAGGCGTGGAAATGTTTAGGTGAAGAAGGGATGAGATGGTTAACTAAGTTATTTAATGTGATTTTACGGTCCAAGAAATGCCTGATGAATGGAGGAGAAATATATTAATTTCTATTTATAAAAATAAAGGAGATATTCAGAATTGTACTAACTATAGAGGGATTAAGCTCATGAGCCACACAATGAATTGTGGGAGAAAGTAATTGAGCACAGGTTGAGATTAGAGACAAGTATTTCTGAGAATCAGTTTGGTTTTATGCCAGGTAGATCAACTATAGAGGCGATTTATCTACTAAGGGGATTAATAGAAAAGTATCGTTGTAAAGATAAAGATCTACACATGGTTTTTATTGATTTGGAAAAAACTTATGACCGTATACCAAGAGAAGTGCTTTGGAAAGCGTTAGAAAAAAAGGGAGTACGGATTGCTTATATTAAAGTCATACAAGATATGTATGAGGGGGTAAAAACTAGTATAAGAACACCTAGTGGTCAAACAAAGGATTTTCCTATAAAGATTGGACTACATCAGGGATCATCTCTGAGTCCTTATTTGTTCAACTTGATCTTTGTTTTGACGGAACATATTCAAGGGGAAATTCCGAAATGTATGCTCTTCGCGGATGATATAATTCTTATAGCAGATACAAGAGAAGAGGTTAATTGCAAACTTGAGTTATGGAGGAGGACATTGGAGTCGAAAGGTTTTCGTCTGAGTAGAAGTAAAACGGAATATTTATATTGTAAATTTGGTAAAGGATTATTCGACAATAATTTGGAAGTGAAATTGGGAGATCAAATTATACCTCAAGTGGAAAAGTTTAGATATTTGGGAGCCATTATTCAAAATGATGGCGAAATCAATGGAGATATTTCACATAGAATTCAAGCTGGGTGGTTTAATTGGAGAAAAGCTAAAGGAGTTATTTGCGACCGTAAGGTGCCTAATAAACTTAAAGGAAAGTTTTATCGCACTGCTATCAGACCGGCAATGTTATATAGTAGTGAATGCTGGGCTCTAACAGGACAGCAAGAGCATAAAGTTGGAGTAGCAGAGATGAGAATGTTACGATGGATGTACGGACATACACGTAAAGATAAAATTCAAAATGAGCACGTACGCGAAAAAGTGAGGGTGGCACCTATTGAGGAAAAAATGGTAGAAAATCGATTGAGATGGTTTGGGCATGTACAAAGAAGACCAAGGGAGGCACCGATAAGAAGAGTGGAACATACAACTTTGAGTCCGATTAAGAGAGGTAGAGGAAGGCCTAAGAGAACACTTTTGGAAGTTATTGAACGCAATCTGTTAATTAATAATATTCCTAAAAGCTTGATAAATGATAGAGTACAATGGCGTCTTGCAATCCATGTAGCCGACCCCACCTAGTGGGATAAAGACTTGTTGTTGTTGTTATTGTTGTTATTAATAATAATAGAAAAAGGGGGGTTTCAGTGTGAACCACTGTTCTAGTGCGTTTTAGCAACCCACTCCTTCCCTGCTGAAAAGAGAAGAACGCAGCACCAAAGCCATTTGTCTCTTTTGTGACTCAAATGAGAATAGAAGCCAAAAGAGAGTCAAGGAAAAGAGCACTTGCCACAGGCTTGACCACTTACTTTGCTTTTCTATTTTGGCGAAACATAATGACACATTTCCTTCTTTTATGACACTGTTCATAGGTCCTATTTGTTTTGGTTTTGAGGAAAAACCAAACTGAACCAAACCAATTGGATCACCAAGCTCGGGACCTATTCGGTTTTTTCTTCTAATTGATTTGGTATATTTTGGATTAAATTTGAGTTTTTTTTTTCGAGATGTTTTTCATAATCTATACATATATATATGATCATTTACTCTTAATGTATAAATATTAATTAGTATTTTCAAAGAAAAAAAATCTCTTGGGAACAAAAGAACATTTTCAAGCAATTATTTAGCACATTTAACTATTAGAAAATAATATGGTATCATCAAAACTTATGAAGCATGGATACTTCAAAAAGGTAAGCGTATCTGTATCTGATATGTATTTAATATGATACTTGTAGAATGCTTTTGCATGCATATCCCATATTCTAAACATTTGTAATATGATTGTTTCAATAATTTTTTATTATATCACTTAAAAAAATTTAAAAAACACTTAATATTTTGGTTGATTGTTGTAAGTATCCTTATATCACTTTAGAAATTCTTATCAAAATACATAAACCCATATCATAAAATGTTGAAATATATATTATAAATATCCCCGTACCCATATCCTAAAATTTTGAAAATTTTCCATATCTCCGTATCATATCAGGTACTCGTACGCATATCTATGCAACCTAGCTCAAAACACTTGATTATAAAATTAAAAATTATCATAAAAAATCATAGACACATTTAACTAATTGTAACATATTTTTAACTTGTGATTTATAGATAACTAAATTTAGGAAAAGAGAAAAAAAAATTACACAAATTTACAAAAATATATAAAATAGATATGGAAGGCTTGGTTCATAGTTCCAAAGAAAAAACCTGAACCGAATCAAACCAATTTGGTTTGCCAAAAGAAAAACCAAACCAAGCCTTATTTGTAATTGGTTTTAATCAATTCATGTTAGTTTGGTTTGGTATAATCGATTTTGATTAGTTTTGAACACCATTACTAACCAGAATGAATAGTGGAAGAGGATAGCAAGGGCAAAAGTGGGCAGAGCACTTTCCCCCATCTACAACCATTATTTTGCCCATGTTTGGTTTGGTTTTCTGGACAGTTTTGAACACCATTATAGTGTGAACTTGCATCAACTGAACCCCTTCTCAAGGAAATTACATCCAATAGTGTTAGATTACATTAAATGAACTAGTGACTTGTGATTTCTGTAATATATGAACACGACTTTTGCACATCATGCCCTGGCACCTGCATAGTTGAAGCACGATGAAACTTTAACAGTATCATGTTACAGTCATTGACCCCATCTTATTTTTTAATCTAGTTTCACCCCTTGGTGCATCGAACATAAGATCCCAATATTGATAAACTAGGTTTCCAGATTATAAATTCAGCAACATTTATTTCTTATCTTTAACGATTCCAATGAATGTCCAATCTCCAAGAAATAAGAACAATGAAATAGGTGCTCTATTAGCCAATAAAAATTTATCACAATAAGGCATAAAAGTTAATTATTACTTACGATGTCAGACTTTGAGCATTTAAAACCGTGGGCAAGGGCAGCTATGTACAATGCCGCACCACATAAGCCACTAGGCTTTCTCCCGTCTGTTTCCAAACATTAGAAATGCAATATTCTCCATGATTAGAAGGATTAAAATCTAAGAAAGATGCCAAATCAAATCAAAGTACCTGCATCCAATCACGTTTCATGCTTGCAACAATGCTCAGTGCAGTTTCCGTGACAACCATATTCCTTTGATTTAATAAATCTACATGAAAATCAACAAAATAATGATTCCCAGTGACACAACAAGTATCTAAATAAAGAAAAAAAATTCAAACAAATTAGTTATATGATTAATCTAGAAACAGACAACAGTTTTCAGCACATGCATTCATGTCGCACATTTTTCCATTCTAGCAACATCTGAGTCAAACATAAGGGAAACTTTTCTGGACCTCAAGTGTCTATTACCATGTTCTAACAAACCAGTTGAAATTGCAATCTTAATTAAATAACTTGACAATATCACTGTATCTTTGAACAGCAATTGTAACAGTAACAGGATCAACCTTAAGTGGTAGATCCCATATCTTTTGTACACAGACAAATCTGTTGATCTAATACGATAATGTCTATATTTTTCTTTTAGAATGCAAGTTGTTATAAGCAAATGACTCCCAACTGCAGAAGAGACTATATACCAGAAACTGTATAGAACTGCTCAATAAAAATAAATAAATAAATAAGCTACAAACACACATACTTACTCTTTGTATATTTAAAAATAAAAAGACTAGGATCAACAGGTTTTTGAACAATTGGGTGCTCTTCAAGCCTTAATACTTTACAAAGTTGTAAAAAAACTGCACCTAGAACATAACTGCACAACACAAATGACAGCAACAGACAACTGTCTAAGAAACACAAAAACTAAGATAAATCAATAAATCAATAAAGTAGTAACCAAAATAAGTGGTGAAACATGCAATTGTCAGAAGAAGCTTACACATTTGTCCTCAAATAATTTGAAAAATCAATGAGAAGGAATGGCTTATTATTTTCCCTGCAAACAAATATATATAAGCTCATCATAAAAAAAAAAAAACTGCAAAAGATTTAGGTCATTTAGTCATAACAAGATCAGGCTAATCGATGATGATGATACATCAAAGGAAGAAAACAAAACATCAAGCTCATGCCACACTTCCCCTAAAAGTTACACAACGCTATTTCATCAAAATTTACTACCGACAAACAAATCACAAGCAACCATCCTTCGCTAGGTCCAAGCTCTATTCATTTTCTTTTTGGGATTACAGAGGTAAAAGTGTAGCCACCATTGTGTTGCAAACTCAGACAACACCAGGCTCACAGGACACCTGATGTAAAAATTCACAATATGGAGCAGGAAGCAAGAAAGGGATATATATACACATAGAAGAAAAGCATATTAAAGTGAGGCAAAGAAGAAGCAAAGATAGAGAAGGCCAAAAAAAAAAGGTCAGGATATTTAGTCGAAACAGAAAAAAATATCAAACAAAATAATGATAAAAATATTAATCATAAAGCTACCACAAAGACAGAGCAACCTGATAACAAAGCTACCTCCATGATTGCTCCCAGACACAATGGAATTTTTTAAAAAAAAAAAAAAGTTCTCTGCCAATGATTATATATTAAAAATTTGAGGGAAGATATTTATTGAACATAAGAACTTGAGAGCCAAAGTGTAAGTAACATTCTCAATTAGCGAAATTGAGGAGGTAATAAAATACTAGTCAAACTCAGACAAATCTGTTTCATTGAATATTCATATTGACAATTTCTAAACACCACGAACAATTCCACAAATCTATCCTATTACAAAATAATTTCTGTTAAAAAGTTTATGCTCATGATTTCTAGCATTCTACCCCAACCACATACATCATCGAAGATGACTTAAAATTAGCATTTAAAAAGAGAACCTTGTCCTTATGTCTTTCAAACTCTTAGTAAAGAAACTAAAACAGATCACTAGAACTCCTTTGAAGAATGTACCGTAGACAAGCCTGTCAATCTAGCAAAAACATTAAACAATCTATTCCAAGTATCCCATGCAATGCAGACATCCCTCAAGCCTGTGCCACCACATCTCAAAAAAATACCCCCTAAATGCACACAAGGAAAAAAAATCAAGAGTTCATAGTGCCTCTTCAAATCAAGTTTATAAATAGATATAAAACCCCAAAATAGAATTTAGTCTGCAAAAAATCCAACAATGTGACTCATGTTCCTCACGGCTACACAGTTTGGAACATATTCTTAACCAACAAAGGGGGGACATAATATTTGAAAGCATGTCACTGAGTTTGAGAGCATCCAAGCTAAATAATTTAAGGCTTCAAAATGAGATTTTTAACTAAACAGCATTAAGCAATTCAAATAACGTAATTACTTGCACAGCTAAAGGATAAGAAAACATAATTAGAAAACTATGAATGTTGCTTAGTGCAATCCTCTTGAAGAGAGATTGCTTACCGGAATGCAATGTATAGACAGGCAGCCTGTACTTGCTCTGATTTTCGTCCCCTTGTGAAATTCCGTTCAATTGCTATCTTCACTAGGACAAAAATAAGGATTAAGAACAAATCACTTTCACATGAATATGAGTAAATAAGAAACTACCTATTCAACAACATTCAAAACATACTTTATAGAAGGCCAATGCTTGTGAGGACAAATTAGTATCCTCCACTCCAAGGTTTTGGCTTAGGTATCTTATGTCTTCAAGTGCTGCAAGCCCAAAGCAAAATGGTTCATAAGAATGTAAACAACTCAATATGCTAAACTTATCACAGTAATTATTATATTGTCTGCAGTGTAAGTACTCTCCACACTCATCTTTTATACATGTTTGTTCTGTGTTTGCCATCCACCTGTATGCCGTTAATTACTTTAGCTATCGTGAAGACTGTTAACACACATTTTCCTTCCAGTGCATATTTACAAATATTCCACAACACAACAAACTATTATAATTAAAACAGATATAGGATGGATAGGCAAAAGAACTGTGAGAAACATGAAAAGGCCAGATTGTTATTAGAAAGCATAAGTTTCAGGAAAGATTGCTACTACTATATCAAAGGGTTAGTACAAATAATGAACAAGAGTACCTCTCTCTAATGTTCTTTGGCGGGAAGCAGAATACTCGCTTTGAATTGTTCTTACAAAATTACCAGATAGTTTGCTCTGCATAAAAGTGGGGAAAAATTAGCTGCAAATAAGGCACAAGAAGGAACAGCAAAAATTAACAAAGGTGAGAGCTGGGGGGAATATAAAGAACTGCTTATACAAAACACTTATTAACTTCTTATGAGACATGATGGACCTTAATAAGTTCTCTAACCAAATTCCCACCCAAGAACAACTGAAATATGCCAATAAGGCTAAAATTATACCTGCCCAGATGCATCTTTAACGAAAGTGGCCTCTTGAGTAAGATACAAATCTTCCAACACCTTCCCACAGCGTTCACAACATCTGAGACCAAAAACCAAGAAAGAAAAAGGATTGTTATTTTTTTTTTTTTTTGCCCCCTGCTGCAAGGAGCAGCCCGATGTTCAAGTATAATGAAATAGTTCTAAATGCTGCATGTCCCAATAAAATGTGTAATTGTGCAGCTACCAATCCACGAAAAATTCTGAGTGTAAAGGCACTCACAATGAAGTGTCATCCGGTCGCATTCCATTTACATTTCTACCACAGTGATCACAGAACACCATTGTCTAATACGATCTCTGAACTCCGTTGCAAATCAGCCAAAGGAGAAAAAAGAATAACGATAACTCCACGCCAGATAGAATCCCTAAGAGGAAGTAGACAAACAGTTAGGATGAAGAAAAAAGAGCCAACAGCACAAGCAGTGCAAAATTCAAGAAAGAAATCAAGAGATTAAAAAATCATTTCTCTGAAAGATCACCTTAACAAAGAGATGATAGGTTTTAATAAAATAATTGAATCTAAAATTTTCTGAGGAAAACTGAAGTAGTTAGAAGACATGTGTACACATTTTTGTTGTCATCTTTTCTTAAGGCAACATATGCCCATGCAAGATCCTTTTTTCCCATGAACCAATGGGGCCCCAGATGTTGAGTCATTATGTACTAAGATAACTTCCAATATCCATGTTATAACTTTAATCTACAAGCTACAATAATTTCAACACAAATGTACATCTGGGGTTTGATGCAGAGGGAATATGTTCAAATGAGCAAACTTAGTTCCAGCACAATTCCAACAATTAATATAAGATAAATTATTAGTACAATAGTGTATCATCCAATGGAAACTTCTTAATCTCGAATACTGACAGTGAAATGACAACCATTAACTTCTTAATCCCGTTTAAATATATCCAAGGGATTCTCACCCATTCACTGAATTTAATCCACATCCTGTAATCAAAGATATGTGAATCACTTTATCTCCTATTTAAATTGTCAAGTATATGCATACCTTCCCGTTTACATGTATTAAATAACTGAAATATTAAGATTATCATAAGCAAAGCAAGTAATTGAATAACTGTTTTTGCCGAAAAACAAGGCCTTGGAGCAGATCATAACATCAAACATGCTTTGAACATGTCTTTGGAATCATTTGACCAGACTACAATGAACAACTAGGATTATCAGATACAGAGCAACACCAACACGCCAACAACTAAATCGAGTGGGGAGGGAGAGGGAGAAGCTACACCTGAATCGAGTGGGAGAGAGAGAGGGAGAGTAGCTGCCTGAAGCTCACTCTCAGTGACGACGGACGACGGACCAGACCCTCAAAGCTCACTGTCAGTATCAGGGATGACGAAGGACAGCAAGACAAGACCATCGAAGCTCGCCGACGACGCGGCGGAGAGGTCCCCAAGAAAGACGTGCGAGAAGCCGAGAATGGAGGAAGGAAGACGGAGGTCGAAACTCGAAGACGGAAGTCGAGAGCAGCAGTGGAAAGAGGAAAGACGAAACACAGAGAACGAGAGCACGAGCAGAGCAATGCGAGTCTGCGAGAGCCAGCCGAGATCGAATTTGAGAGTTGAGAGTTGAGACTTGATTCATTAGAGTGAGAACCTGTAGTTAGTGGGACAGTCCTAGGACGAGTGGGAGTAGGAGTTGGGTTAAGTCCGTTATATCAAAAACTAGGGCTCACGGCTTTTTGCAGTTACGGGTGCCGACTCTGGCGCGATAATCCATGCCGGTTCTGGGAGAAAATAAGAAAATATTAATTAATATTAATATAACCAATATAAACGAGCTTCCCCACTTTTTTTTTTTTTTTTTGCCAAAGCTACTATTAAAATTGAAGGTAATCCATCCTATTAAAAAATGAAGGTGCATTAATGGTTCAATCACCTAACGATAGGAAAAAAATTGTCAATCAATTAGCCTAATAATCATAGTATTAGCTCAAAACGTACGTCGATCAAGTGGCCGTCAGATTGTTGTGTGATCAATCAACATTAATGTTGCATCCTTCACGAAGCTATGTTATGCTCTAAACACTGCGGCTACTTTTCTTTTTTTTTTTTAGAGCTGCTATTATTACAATAAAATATTGCATTAATGGTTCCTCACATTATATGTGTACACAGAATAAAAAACATCGTGCATGGCGTCAAGCGGGGCACTGGCAGGCGGTAAAAAAACTGGTCAATCAGTTAGCCTAATTCTGACATGCAAGTCAATCATCGTTTGATCTGATTTTTTTTTTTTCAATCATTTTACACGAGAGGTCAACATTAATGTTGCATATTGTACGAGCCCTGTTGCATTAAAATATTATTTTCAGAGCTACAAGAGCAATTGAAGGTTACATTAACGTTTACTCACATAAAATAAAGTTGCATTGCAGCCATAGGCCAGATGAAAAGCAGAGGAGGGAGGGTTAACGGGGGCGTTAGTAGACAGTGTGAGTGAATTTTTTAAATATAGTTATACATTATTCATAGACCGATTGAGCTAGCACAATTCCTTGCAAGTTGAGCTGAATACTTGTTAATATGTGAATAATTCTTATGTACAATAAGTCACGACATGATTGACTTTTATTAAAAATATTGAAATTGTCATCAATAATTATTTTTTGTGCTAGCTTGTTAGGAATATTGATATAAATTGAAAATTGATTGATATTGGTATCAATGATGTTAATAAAAATTGAAGACGGTGTTACATCTAGATATGCAAAGGAAGAAAAATTCTGCATAACATGAGATGTGGTTAGTTCTTCTTTTTTTTTTGTCTTTTTTTGTTTTGGGCCAAGAATGTTTGGTCATGGACTCACAGCATCATGATCCCGAAAGGGACGCTATAAGTTAAAAGATTTTCTAGAAAATCATTGGTGAGTCCTTCTTTAAAGTCAAAATTGTATTAAAATATCAATTGATCGAGACGCAAGCAAATAGATTTAGGATTTCCTGGTTATATGTTTACACTTGTACCTTGATTCTTTGGCCTTTTGTCGCAATTTCATTTGTAAGAAGGGGTTTACTATCAAAATGTTCAAGAATTTCCAAATTTATATCTAACAATTAATAGATAATAAATTATCTCAAAAAAATAAGGGCTAGTGTATATATTTAATCCTTTCATTTTACATAAAATTTGATTTTAGTTTTTTAACTTTATAAAGTATTTTTTCAGTCTTATAATTCTAATATTGTTAATTTTATTTCAATAAATTTTTACATTGAACTTTCAAATATTGACACATTATTTTTTTTAAATAACAATAATTAACACAAAAATAATCATTTTAAAATTAATGGTATTAGGGTTAAATGATAAAAAAATATTTTACAAAATTAAAAAACTAAATTAAAACCTTATAGAATTAAATGATTAAAAGTACACTTTAGGTAAAAATAAGATAAAAACTATGGCCTTGTTTTTTTTTTAGTAAAATTTGTCTCGTTTAATTTTAGATAATAATCCAAATAAAACTATATTTTAAAAATTATCTTAATTTTCTTGACTTGCAAAAGTAATTTAATTTTACAACTATTATCTGGATTCATTTTTTATTATTTGTACGCAGCATGTAGTTACGTATCTTTCAGAACAAAATTACAAGAGAACCATTTCATTTGGGGAAAAAAAAAAGGAGAGTGACAGTTGAGTTTCGAGAAAATCAATTAATTTAAATTAAATTTTAATTAATTTTAGAATATCAAGAAATTTTTTTGATTCTTCAATTATAATAAATCAAACATAATAGTTTTAGATACTTGCAAGTCAAATTTTTAATTTTATAACTTCATTGTAATGTATTCATAATTTATTTTTTAAATTTTAATAAAAAAATATAAATGTTCATATTTAATGTTGAGAAATATTAAGTCTAATAGTTTCGTAAATTTATAAGATTACTTCTTAATTTTATAACTTTGTTGGAACACACTTGCAATTTATTTTTAAATTTTTTATAGAAAATACAAATGTTCATCTTTAATGTTAAAAACATATTAAGTCTATTATTTATTCTTTACCTATTACCTATTTATCAGCATATAAAATAGATAGATCCTTTACTTCACCTTTGTCTATTGTTTATTTTCCAACTCTGTTAAAAATTAAAAAATAAATTATAAGTGCATTACAATGAAGTAAAATTAAAAAATAAAATTTTTAAATCTCTCAAACTGTCGGACTTATTATCACTGAAGGATTAAGAAACTTTATTAATATTTTAAAATTGATTGAGACTTATTTTAAATTAATTGCCCCCCTTAAAACTCAATTAATATTCCCCCTTAAAAAAAAAGGCGCGAAGTCAAAGTTCCTGAATTTTAGTAGATATGTCGTCGAAAAAAATATTGAATAGTTTAGCATCAATCGGATTGATCCTGGATTCAACCCGTTAAAAAAACAAATTGAATTAATTTTTTTAAATCTTTTGTTTATTAATCTTGAGTCATTTCATCGGACTATGTTTGATAAATTTTATGTGATAAGTCGATGCATAGTTTTCATGAACTTTTAGTATTTCGAACTTTTTTAATCCTATTTGAAATTTCAAATTGATGTTTACCTTAAATCCTTAACATCATATAAAAATAACATGTAATTCTCGAGTATTCAAAAATTTGGAGGCCATTTTAAATTAAGAAAATTATATTTTGTACTCATAAATATGATCTTTTTATTCTTTAATATTCATACCAAATTATTTGCACCAATACCAAAAATCCAACCGAGCGCGTTTTTTCTTTCTAATCATATTAGTAATTGATTTTTAAATTTTTTAACAAAATTTAAAGTGCAAGGAAAAAAGAAAAAAATATGAAATGAAAATGTTGACCTTATAATGTAATCAAAGGAAATTAATTTGTTTACTTCTTATAAATATTTTTTTATTGAAAGTAATCTTATTCAAATCATCATTGGATGCTGAATGTAAGTACTTCTTTTAATAAAAATTTAAAACTTAACTCACCACATTATAAAAAACTAGCTTTTTCCACCCAACCTAATTTAATTGAACTTAAAAGAATTTACAATATTTTAATTATATTAAATAAATATACTAAAGATATCTCGATATACCTGTGAGACTGTCATTAATAATAACAGTCCCACATCGGGTACTAAATATAAGTACTTTTTTTAACACGAACTCAAAACTTAATTTACAACATTACAAAGAACTAAATCTTTTCACCCAACCCAGTTTAATTAAACCTAAAAGAATTTTAATTGCATTAAATAAATATATGAAAAATACCCCAACATACCCATGTAGCAGGAATTTGAATTAGTTTGAATAAAAAGTGATAATATTCCTAAATTTTTTAAAATACCAAGCAAGGAAATAATAATAAAACAAAATGAATCCCCGGAGGCCAGACTGTTATTACTTCGTAGACATATGACTCACCTTAACTTCGCAATCCGACTTAGCCCCATGCAGCATTATGTTTAAAGATTTTTTTTTAAAAATTGAATGTACCTGGATAAACTTTTTTTTTTAAAAAAACCAAATATAAGAACTAATCATTACTCTTTTCACGATGAATCCCCAAATAGCCATCATTGTTAGACCAAAAATAGAAACATAAAAAATTACAAAATTCACGAGATCTAGACAATTTAGAAGCAACAATCAATCGAACTAAATCAAAGGATCACCTATCTGTTTATCTGCATTGCATCTTGTAGAAAAATCTATCAGAGAGAAGCTTGGATAACAAATTTCTCAACCTCCTCTGGCCAGGGCCAGAGCTGAGAACGCCAAAATTCTCAATTCTAAAATCAGAGCATCCTCTGCTTCTTCTCCCACCACTGGAACACCATCCTCCAAAAGAAAATTGCCCACGACGCCTTTTGAGAAGTTCTCTATCGATTTTATCAAGAACAGCATCGTTTTTCTTGAATTTTCTGGCAAACGGACGGCTGCTTAGAACCATTTTGCGGTAGTCTTTGAGACCAAGAGACCTGGGGTGTTGCTTTGGAGGCACATCCCAAGTAATGTAGTGAAGGTCATGGTTAGCTGTGGTGTTCCTGTACTCTTCAGAATTGCAAATCACTGTCTGGAAATACCCTTCAGGCGACGACACAAAGTTAGTGTAGTACAGAAGCAAGGTCCTTGGCAGATTTTCCCACCCCACTATGCAATACTCTGCGAACGATCTTGATAGTATGGTCCAAGCTGAACCTGTATTCATTTTCAAAACACATTAACTGTAAGTCTGATACAGTTAAACAATCTGGCTCGCGCCTGTACAAGTCTAAAACGCAAGATCCAAAAAAAAAAAAAAACTTAGATTTCAAGTAATCTACTTTCGATAAGATCCTCTTCTAGTGATCTACTTTTCATTTTCTTTCCTGACCTGAAAGTGATCTACTTTCGAACCTTCGATTCTCTATAAAATAAAATATATAAGACACAGAAGTTATGAAGCTGAAATGAATTGAACTTATGGGAAGGAAAATTTAAGCAAATAGAAAAGGGGATATTATAATTTATTAATGACACCAACATCAAGCAAGGAGAGGCACGTGCATTGCGAGAAACAAGGCATCATGCACGTGCATATCCTGGATGAACAAAAAATTTTGGATTTTCAATTTTATTCATGTCTTTGAATCAAGCGTGTGATAATCACCGCCTAAGAACCTAGAACGTTGCGGTGGGTACTCAAGGGCATAGGTAGGCGGGGTTCTGGAAGCACATAATTAAGTACACCAAAATGTCCAAGATTAAAGGGCAATCACTCCGTCTCTCAATGACAACTAAATAAGACATTTCAACAGCAACGAGCTAACTAGATCTAGCCACAACGTTGACGATGGAACCTCAAATCCTAAAATTCAATCTCATCCCAAGCGGATTGCCATGCTGATCGTAGGGTTGGTATAATTATAAGCACACTAGCATGATATATAGAATACACGAATACATCAGGAACAGGAAGTAGAGAAGCGGATGCAAAATAGAGAAAAGACGACAAACAAGCCTAGTTAGAGGGCCCAACCGACAAAAATAATTTATGACCTTGATAAGCACGCACGACAACTGTTACATGATTCCATCCAGATCTTAAAGCATCACATGCTGTTGAACGGTGATAAGGTAATTAAATATTTGAAGGCGAAATATTGATGCTTGGAGGGAGAAGGGAAGAAACAAATGCAGAAAGGTATTGGCTTGAACAGGATACGCAGAAGTATGAGGGGAACAAGAAAAACCTGTGTAGAGTTTGAAAGATGTCGGTAAACTTCTTTGCTTAATGCCCCACCAAATCTCTGACTTGTTGCGACGGTAAAGCCCTGGGTCTATAATTATTGGCTTGCCTCTCTTATTCCTTGAAAATTGATATAAAAAAATTTCAGAACTTTGGGCTCTAAAAATAAGACATTAAACAGAAACTCTTTCAGAGCACAATCACTACTTACAGTTTCCAACCCAGGCGACTGCTATGCTGTACGAAATTGATATTTCTTGGCAACTCAGAAAATGATTGGATCAGATCTGGAGAGTACAAGAAAATTAGTTCATCTCAGTTCAATGGCCCAATGAAATAAGCAATTACTAGTAAATTTGCTCAGGAACAAACCCAATCAAATAAAAAACCAACAAATAACAAGATTACTATAGCAAAGTAGATAAACGCAATGGGTATAAAAGATAAAGGCCACTCACCGTACCATCTTGTGTAACCAAGGGATAGTCAGAGGCACTAAGATTAATAAACCAGTCCCACTGGCAAGTCCTCAGAAGCATAGCCATAGCATGGAGTGTGGTAGCAAGCATGGTTGGTCCTCTATAAGTCACCAAATTACGCTTCCCAACAACCCAAACATTCCCCACATCACCAAAAACAGGGTCTCCGGCCACGAACTCAGCAACATCCCTGAGTTCTGATTCGGGTGCCCCGTAATCCATATGAATGAGATAGTAATTCCCCGGATGGTACAGCGCCTTCACCAACCTTTTGAGCCTTACGGCGTCTCCTTTGGATGCAGAGATCAAGTAAGCAAAAGAAACTGGATACAGTTTGCTGGTTTTTGAGACGTTGAAATGTTTCATCACAGGCCTGGAGCTGGAGATGGGCAGGGTTAACCTGGTGGGGATATAAAGAATAAAGAACAATATTGAGGTTAGCATGAAAGAAACCATGAAAATTTTGATATCCATCTGAGAGAGATTTGCCAGAAGGGAGGGTTTTTAGGTAGAGGATGTGAAAAGGGAGGTTGGGGAGGGAGGTGGAGGTTAAATTATTCAATATAGGAGTTTGGTTGGTTTGGAAGAAGACAGTGGAAACGGGTAGGAATTGAGAAGAGTGTGGTTTACATTATACAACTTTGGTGGGTTCTTTGCTTTAAGCACAAGGCCTACATTTGTCAGTCAAGGGGAAGGGAAGAGAAGCGCGAAGATTCCCCTGGAGCGCCCCAATGCTGCCCCTCCTTTTATCGTTGATGACCAACTCCTGACGACAACCGGCACAGAAATATTCCAGATGAAGCGCATCTGGATTTAAGGTCGGTTTGATTTTCTTGCTTTTTACATTCACAAAATAAAATTTTATTTTTAAAAAATTAAAAATTATTTAAATAAAATATTTTATAAAAAATTATGTTTTAAAAATACATTCAAACAATAATTAAAAGTAAACTTTTAAAATATAATTATTTAAAATTTTTAAAAAGTAAATTTAAAAAGTAAAATATTATTTGACTATACTACCCCAAATTTAATCTCTTATTTTTTATTTAAAAAATAGTTGATTCATTAAAAATATAATTATTATTTCAATAATAATAATTAGGTATCAAATTTTTAGCATGGTAGATTGAATAATTGATCATGTTATTTTTTTAACATTAATGTATAACAAAAATTACAAATTTTAACACATTTTCTAAAATTAAAAATTTAAAAATACAAATAACTAGAAATCAAATTTTTAGCATTACAGATCAAAATTTATGTTGTTTAAAATTTTTATCACATTTTTAAATATATTTTATTTATATAATAAAAATTACAAATCATTATAAATCAATGTCTTTTTTGATAATTGTATATTCAAAAATATATTTCATTATCACAAACCAATAATTTTCAGTATATCAAATTGACTTTTGAAAAAGTATATCCAAACATAAATTTCATTATAACAACTGACTTTCACTAAATTAATTTCTACTAAATAAACTTTTGATAAATTAAAAACTAAATATACACTTAATCCTCCGAGCCAACGGCTGCTAGCCTGCTAGGTGTCAAAAAGCCAAGGAAAAAAAACTAAGGTTTAATTACATCTATAGCCTTGAAATCTTCAATAAATGTATCCAAAACCCAATATAGGATTGGATAACTGTAACATCCCAATTTAAATTTTAATAGTTAATTTTTGGTAAATAGAAATTTTTTTAAAAAAAATATTTAGAAGTAGGAGATGATTATTAAATCTAACTTAGGATATAATTCTAAATTAAAAAAATAAAAAAAATAATTAAATAATAATAATAATAATAAAATATTATTATTAAAATATTATTATTATTATAATAAAAAAGTATGAGAAAGAAGGAAAGAAAGAAGAGAACAAGATGGCTTTCGGTGCTCTTCCCCGGTGCAATGATTATATTTATATTATAATAATATATAAAAAAAGGGGGAGAGAGAGAAAAGAAGAAATAATAAAAAAAAATGTGTGGGACCCACTGAATTTTTATAAAAACTCACCTGTTCCTTCATTTCTTCATTCCTTCTTTCGTGCGTGAGCTGAGGCAGAGAGAGAGCATCTGTGAGCCAAATTCACCGGTGCTGGGTTTTAAGGTAAGAGTTTTAATAGGATATTTAGAGTGTGATTTTTGTAACACACCAAAATTTTTTTTTAAATAATTTAACTCAACCATAGTTGGGTTACAGCCACCCAACACATTTTTTATATCAATAATTTCGATATAAAATATTTTATATTTGGCTTCAACTCACACACTATAACATTTCAGATAAATTTTTACCTCCCACATGCCATTAGGCTAAATCACATTTGTCCATCCTTATACTCCCAACAAATAAACTAAATCACATTTGTCCATCCTTATACTCCCAACAAGTAAAATAAGCAATTTAGTCAATTTTCAACACAAGCCAGTTATTTGGCCTTATAATCATGCCATTTTAACCAATCCAAAGTAAATCAAATATTAAAATTACAGTCATCCAAATTGTACCAAAAATAGAAATAGTTTGAAAGGCATGATTACATTTATATATTTATATAATTGACAATAAACAAAAAGCCCTAATATTGGCAATATAACACATTATAAATCATAAATTAAATACCCAAAAGAGATAGTGGATCTATACCACTAAGCCTCTGGGACTCCTCCACGTGTCACTCGTAGCTCTTCTTCTGAAAATTGTTAACCACATAATGAGACTCAAAAGTCTCAGTAACCAAAGCCAATTTATGATAGTGTATACAAACAGTTAAGTGTGTGCTTACTAAGTGAGAATTAAAAATAATATAATTCCAACAAATATAAAAAATATTACAATACACACAAACAACCATCCTTATATCCCTCCATTAATCTCGAGCCGTAGCCCTCACTCGGTGCTAAATTACCCGGCCAAAGGTAGATTAGCCCGAGCCCTTACAAGCCACCTATTGAGCTCCAATAGGGGCGTACCACGTGGCACATAAATACAACAATAATAGCAAGTCTCCCAACACCTCCCACAATAATTAAACAAATTCATAATAATATTGCACAATTATACAATATTACAAAATTCATAATTTTCTCAATAATCACCCAATTAACATGAAGTAACACTAATCATAAATTAAAAGCATGGTTACCGGGGGGCTTTTTCAATAAATTATTCCTTACAATTTCGCTCTCACCACAAGCTTCACCAGTAATACAATCGACAAAATAACATATATTTATAAATATTAGTTTCAATTTTAAAACTAAAAAATAATTCGAATAATAGAATTAAAAATATAATATAATTCCTAATTTCAATCTTAATACAAATCTATAGTTAATACTATTAAGTAAAATTTTTAACTCCTCTTTTAATTATCAATAAACATTATAATCTAAAAATCAACTTCTAAATTAATTTCTATTATCAAAATTTTTTTTTATTTTATAAATTCGTACCTAAAAATATCCAAAAATTAAAAATTAAGTCTCTAGCTTAGAATCATAATCCTATAACCATAATAATTCATTTCTCATCCCAAATAATCATCTAAATCTCAATAAATCAACATATATTTTCAGATCTAGTTTAGAATTTGATCCATAAGCCACAGATTCAAAGATCATCAATAAATTTATACTCTAGAACATTTATTATACTACTGACAACCTCAAAAATTATATTTATTCAACATAAATTCATCCCTCTTCCAGATCTTAAATTTTCTACCACTACAAAATCAGAAACCAAAGAAAAAGGATGACTAAGAAAAAAATTTAGAACACTTACTTAGTCTTAAAAAGCTTAAAATCACACCTTAAATATCCTATTAAAAACTCTTACCTTAAAACCCAACACCAGTGAACTTGGCTCACAGATGCTCTCTCTGCCTCAGCTCACGCACGAAAAAAGGAATGAAGAAATGAAAGGAAACGGGTGAGTTTATAAAAATTCAGTGGGTCCCACACATTTTTTTTTATTTACTCTTTCCTCTCTCTTCTTCTTCTTTTTTTTTATTATTAAACATAATCATTGCCCATCGAAAGTTCACTCCTTCTATCCTTTTTTTTTTAATACGTTTTCCCTTTTTTTTATTATTATAATAATTTAATAATATTTTTTTATTTTTTTTATTATTTTTTTAATTATTTTTTTTATTTATTATTATTTTTTTAAATTTTTTTTAGAATTATATCCTAAGTTAGATTTAATAATCATTTCTTACTAATTTTCTTACCTCTAAATATATTTTTTTTTATTTCTATTAACCCAAATTAACTATTAAAATTTAAATTGGGATGTTACAATTTTAAGCTTTTTAAGACTAAGAAAGTGTTCTAAAATTTTTTCTTAGTCATCTTTTTTCTTTGGTTTCTGATTTTGTAGTGGTAGAACATTTAAGATCTGGAAGAGGGATGAATTTATGTTGAATAAATATGATTTTTAAGGTTGTTAGTAGTATAATAAATATTCTAGAGTATAAATTTATTGGTGATCTTTAAATTTGTGGCTTATGGATCAAATTCTAGACTAGATTTGAAAATATATGTTGATTTATTGAGGTTTAGATGATTATTTGGGATGAGAAATGAATTATTATGGTTATAGGATTATGATTCTAAGCTAGAGACTCAATTTTTAATTTTTGGGTATTTTAGGTACGAATTATGAAATAAAAAGAAAATTTTGATAATAGAAATTAGTTTAGAAGTTGATTTTTAGATTATTAATGTTTATTGATAATTAAAAGAGGAGTTAAAAATTTTACTTAATAGTATTTAAATATAGATTTGTATTAAGATTGAGATTAGTAATTATGTTATATTTTTAATTCTATTATTAGAATTATTTTATTAGTTTCAAAAATTGAAACTAATATTTATAAATAATATGTTATTTGTAGATTGTATTACTGGTGAAGATTGTGGTGAGAGAGAAATTTTAAGGAATAATTTATTGAAAAAGCCACAAGGTAACCATGCTTTTAATTTGTGATTAGTGTTACTTCATGTTAATTGGGTGATTATTGAAAAATTATGAATTTTGTAATATTGTATAATTGTGCAATATTATTATGATTTTGTTTGATTATTGTAGGAGGTGTTGGGAGACTTGCTATTGTTGTTGTATTTATGTGCCACGTGGTACGCCCCTATTGGAGCTTAATAGGTGGTTTGTAAGGGCTCGGGCTAATCTACCTTTAGCCGGGTAATTTAGCACCGAGTGAGGGCTACGGCTCGAGGTTAATGGAGGGATATAAGGGTGGTTATTTGTGTATATTGTAATGTTTTTTATATTTGTTGTAATTATATTATTTTTAATTCTCACTTAGTAAGCACACACTTAACTATTTGTATACACTATCATAAATTGGCTTTGGTTACTGGGACTTTTGAGTCTCATTATGTGGTTAACAATTTTCAAAAGAAGAGCCACGAGTGACACGTGGAGGAGTCCCAGAGGCTTAGTAGTATAAATCCACTGTCTTTTTGGGTATTTAATTTATGATTTATAATGTGTTATATTGCCAATATTAGGGCTTTTTGTTTATTGTCAATTATATGAATATATAAATGTAATCATGCCTTTCAAACTATTTCTATTTTTGGTATAATTTGGATGACTGTAATTTTAATATTTGGTTTACTTTGGATTGGTTAAAATGACATGATTATAAGGTCAAATAACTGGCTTGTGTTGAAAATTTAATAAATTGCTTATTTTACTTGTTGGGAGTATAAGGATGGATAAATGTGATTTAGTTTACTTGTTAGGAGTATAAGGATGGACAAATGTGATTTAGCTTAATGACATGTGGGAGGTAAAAATTTATTTGAAATGTTATAGTGTGTGAGTTGAAGCCAATTATAAAATATTTTATATTAAAATTATTGATATAAAAATGTGTTGGGTGGCTATAACCCAACTATGGTTGAATTAAATTATTAAAAAAAAATTTTGGTGTGTTACAATAACTATCCATCGAGCAAGCTCCAAGTCAAGAAGTCAACTAGCCCATTAAATTTGTGGCTTGATGGTGTGGACATCAGCTTTCACCGGCGAGATAATGAGTTCGACACAGCTGCTAGAATTTAGGATCTTGAGCTGGCAAAAATAATAGAAAATCTAAATATGTGTTTTACACTTGACAAAAGCAAGTTTAAAGAATTTAACTCTTTATTAAATTTGATAAAAACACGTCTTAAATATAATTTAAACGTACATTTAAGTGTTATTTAAACAAGCTCTTAGACTTTCAAGTCAATAGTGAAAAATTTGTGTGGCCCGTTTACTCTTTCAAATTCCACTAGTTGTTAACTGTAACGGATGTCATGCTCCCTTGATTTACTAAACTACAAGATACTTTTAATTATTTATGAAGATAAAAATATTTTAAAGTGTTTTGTATTGTTTAAAATGGTAAACAAAAATTATCATCACTTTAGAAAATTACTTTCCAGCATCTTCATCACGTTATTTTTTTATTACCCCCTCTGTAATACAATTAATAAATATATTTGTTCAAAAAATTAACATCAGTGACTTTCTGCGAGATGAAGTACATTTTGAAAACTGGACTAGATAGGAGAAAATGTATGTGAAAATTTCAATTGGTCACTAATTAGCAGCATCCGAAAAGTTTCATTGAGTGGACGATGCACAGGAGCCATGTGAGCTCCAGACCGACCTCTGTTTGTTTCCGCATTCCACGCCAAGTATCCATTTCCAGGGTGCTGTAGCAACAAGTTCAAGTTGTTCACTTATCCTTTGTGTTTCAAGAGAATAATAGCGTATCATGTATGAATGAAGACTCTATATCGACTTAGAAGTTTCAAATGTCTCAGGTACTTCAACAACTCTTTCTTCAAGTTTCTGTATTTTTAGTTACTTATTGCCTGAATTACCACCATGCGCATAAGAAAATCACTATGGTGGCAATGCCACAACCACAAGCGTGCGGTTCAACTAACTATCTCGGGCATGCGATCCAACAAGATGTCCCAGTTTCCTTGCAGGAGCTTCAATGATCCCTAGCACAGCAGACATTCTTGGCTATAATTAGGCGTCTAAATACAGAAGGAACAGTAAACCCAAACGACAATAATACGTCAAGAACATAATTTGACGCCAAAGGCATTGTTGTGAAAACATTTTCTGCATTGCAGATAAGCAAAGTAATTTTTAATAACAATAACTGGATAACGAGAATACCCTATCATAATCTTTCTATCCTTTCTGGACTGACGGAGTTCTTTCTTTTCATCCTGTCCTGAACATGTCACCAATTCATGCTTATTGCCACTTTTAAACTATAAGCACTTTAACATGTAGGTAAATTTTTATCAATCAACTATGCGTATATTTCATTCAAATTTACCAAAGATCATTGCTAGTGTAACCAAAATCATTTGAAGGAGACATGAATTTAAATGACTTGAGGCAATGGCCCTCAAGCTATATATAGCAAGTGGTACAACAACATTCCAAAAAGCAAGACCTCAATCATTTGGGTCCACAGTGACCTCGTCCGCCACATGCTGTGCACATCATATTACCAGTTCCCCCACAGCCTACATGGCAACAAGTGTCACATCAAAATATGGTCATGGATCAAGATTCTCAGCTACGCACAACTAGAAATAATGAATCATGTAGATGCATTTCCTTTTGATCTAGCAATATGTTCAAGTTTGTAACCACATTCACCAAATTGTGAACAAGCATGTTCTAAGTCTTGACAAATCTACCAATTCAGACCTTTTTTTTGGTCATTCTACCAATTCAGATCTGCCAGAGTTTTATATCTTTGATGCATTGTTTTAATGATGAAGCCGTCCAGAAAAATTACGCCCCAGTTCATTTAAAGGTCAATAAAACAGAAGATTTTAACCTAACAGCAGTACATCCACAGAGCGAAGCAGTTGCATAAGAGAACAGCCTTTACGACACAAGTGACAACGGAATATCAGATATATAAACACAGTGAACCCAATCAAAACTTTAAAAAATACTGCAGCAACTTCTGCAGACGATCAAAAACAGTATCACCAGTAAATTCGTTTGAATAGGAAAGAACATATACCTAGGCAGCGAACTTTAACAATTATGCCTTGGCTTTCCAATATGGAATCAACATAAAGGCCAGAACCAGAACAAGTGGTACAGAGCACAGCACCCTTCGCTTGGCAATCAGAGCACCGGAGATTGCTACCAATTTCTTTCTCATCCAAAGATAAGCCAATAGGCTTTTCAATTCTTTCCTCAGGTATAGCCTTATCATAACAAAACAGAGATTCAAGATTAATTCTGCTTCTATTATCACCTTCCCTTAAACTTGACACAGACTGAAACACAAGAAATGGTCGGCTGAGACTCTCAGAACAAATATAGCCAAGCTTATGAAAATGCAAAAATGTAGGTAAAACTTCCAATTCTTTTTCTCGACAAATGTACTCACACAACTGTAGGGGAAGATTCAGCTCTGAACTCCTCTATGTTCTATATACAAAGATCTGTGACTCTTAGTCTAGTATTACAAAAAATAAATCAAATTACTCTTAAGCAACAATCCGTTAAAGGATTTGAAAGAATAACAAGTGAATCTTCCAAACACCTTTGACTAGAAGCATTGAAAACAGTTTCTTAATAATTTGAAGATTCAACATTGCTTGAATTCTTAAGAATATAAGCTCAGATTTTCTGGGGACAATTCAAGACCAGCATGCAATAGACAGGCCTCAGCAGCATAAATTCACAAACTTCTTAATCAAGATTTATTTGCCATCTTGAAAGATTGGATTTATAAGGTTCTAATGACTGTTTGACAAACGAACAAAATTTATAGGGAGAATTGCTGAAAAAGACCTGGCTGAAAAAGAAATCATGCACAAGGAAAAATTGCATTTGAAGGATCATTTTGAATAAAATATTTACAAAACAATGTAACCAAACGATGGAATTGTCCCGTCTTTGTAAGATGATTTCATCTTACCATCTAAGCAATCCAAGCGAGACAATCTCTAGCGCAAGAAGCGAGTTGCAACTTGGACCCTTCATCTCTTCACATGCGATTCTGTATAACCACCACTGTGTGACTCTTTTCTCAGAGGACTTTGACTCCTCTCTTCACATGCTCTCCAACTATGTTGTGCAACTATGCATTCATGTCTGTGGAGGGCAATTTACGGTGAGAGAGAACTTCTCACGTTACCTTTCTTCTTTTTTCAGAGAAGCAACTTCAAGCAACATGAGAGTAGAATTCTAGCGAACATTTCCTCTCTCTCCTTTTGCAAGATTTGCTTCCTCTACTATCTCTTGTTCGTCCAGAAGTTGGGCATATATCCCTAAGCTTGAACCTTTTAGCCGATCCAAGTTTAAAAGGGCCATCAAGGAGCCTTTGTTAATTTAGAAATTTGAAATAGAGCTTGCAAGTATTTTTCTTAAAATTTCTTATTGTTATGGGTTCATGTGCTTCGTTTTGTTTGGACATAAACATTTCTTCTCTTTTCATAGGCATTGACTTTTGCTTAAGTGCTTTCCTTTCTCATTTGTTGGTTAATGGCTACCTCTTAAATGTATTAATTAAGTTGAGAAATGATAGAAGTTACTATCTAAGCCTGAAGTTACAAATCTGCAAGTATGATTTAAAGGTTCAGACTTATCTAACCTAAAACTATATTTTCTAACTAGGGGCTTCTTTAAACACCCAAATGCAGTACTAAACTGGACTTTTTGAATTAATTTGTACTATACTTTTGAATCATCAAACAGCAAGTGAAAAATAATGGGAAATTGATTTGTAAATTCTGAATGTTGAACACTAAATACAGTTGGCATCCACAAGTTTGATGAAGAAATTTATGCTCTTCATAATTTTAGAACAAAATTTTGATGTATATCTCTTCTAACTTACTTTTTGTTCTAGCTGGCCCAATCACATTTCAGACTAAATTTCAGCCACATCTTGTTTGGTCCCTAGAACAAGTAGGTTGCATCTTTAAATGATGTTCTATGTCAAATCAAAATGATGTTCTGTGCCTTCAAGCACTGATATAATTTGTAGTGATATTAAATAGTGTATAGTGATCAATAGATTGCCTTTACATATTTGATTTATTTTATATTTATTTGTTATCTAGTTTGAGTGAAAATGGAAGGAGCTCGAGAGAGGAAGATGACGTTTTTTTAGGAGTTAGGGCTAGTTACTTGTTTGTTTCTACTTGATTTGTCTATTTTTCAGTTCTACTAAGCAAACTATTAATCTACCTAGGTAGCCTCATAACATAAAGTTCATACTTTGCTCAATTATAAATCTTTGTTAATATGAACCAAAAAATTCTTGTATGGCATTCTTTATTTCATTGGAGAATTAACTTTTCACTATTGCTTTCAAGGGCCATTAAAAAAAAGGTGTGTTAAATTTGTATTGCCCAAAAAGCTAGTTATAATTTTGTAGGTGCTGTGCATTAATGCTTGAATGATTCACTTGTAATGGCTACTATTTTCATTTCAGGCTTAAGACACACCGAAACATAAAGTTTTGTTTGGAGAGGAGGAAAAAATAAGTTCAAGTCAAGAAGTTCTTGCATGCATATTATAATTCAAGGGAGTTACAAGGAAATACTAATCAAGGGATTTTCCTACAAGGTTGAATGAAATCGTGATTGTATTTTGAAGTGTATTTATGACCATCTCTCTTATTTGTTTTTCTTAATAGGGTAGGATGTAATTTAGCATGGAAATGATGTTGTTCTTATCTCTAATGGTATATTTTTAATATATTGTTCTTTGTTCTTGTCCTCAATGGCAGTGAATATTGGGCTTTGACGGGACAGCAAGAGCATAAAGTTGGAGTAATTGAGATGAGAATATTGAGATGGATGTGTGGATATACATGGAAAGACAAAATTTGAAATGAGCGAATATGAAAAAAATGGGTGTGGCACCTATTGAAGAAAAAATGATAGAAAATCGTTTGAGGTGGTTTGGACATGTTCAAAGAAAACCACGGGAGGTACTTGTGAAGAGTGTGAAATAGATAACTTTGAACCCTGTCAAGAAGGGTGGAGAAAGACCGAAGAAAATACTTTTGATAGTTGTTGAACGAGACCTTTTAATTAACAATATTCCTAAAAGCTTAATAAATGATAGAGCACAATGACATCATATAATCCATGTAGCCAACCCCACCTTGTAGGATAAGGCTTGTTGTTGTTGTTGTATATTGTTCTTTGTTTATAGTTTTGTTTGCATTTGGCAAGAAGACAGACCAAAACTATGAAAATTAATATTCTTTTATTGAAATTATTGTTGTCCATTCTCCCTCTTCACATTCACTTGTTTTTCAGGGACAATTCAATTGTCCTCCATGTTACATTGTTCACATATTAACATGATTTGTTATACATTGTATAATACTTAAAAAAGAGGGAACTTATTGTGAGTGTTCCCAATATTCTTTTACAACAACTATCCATTACATGTAATTTTAACAAATAGAGTACATGCTCATGATAGCGACTCTAGATTTCACGACAATTATAAGTAACTACATGTAATTTGAACATATAGAGGGCATGTAAATTAGTGTGGGGAAATTTACATGTAACATTTAATGGATTACATATTAAAAAAACACACAGAGAGCATGCCACTGTTAGTGCCCTTGAATTACATGTAAACGGCTAAAGATTACATGAAATTCACGTTGGTATAACACATGCCCTATAACTTGTGCCCTAAGCCAAACGTTTTGCACCTTAAGCTAGACTACTTATACCCAAGCCAGTACACTTGCAACCAAGTCAGAACCCATAAACCCTAAACAAGAAGCCTTGCACCTAAGCTAGAAGTCTTATACCCTAAGTTAGACCACTTATACTCAAGCCAAAACTTTGCACCCCAAACCAAAATTCTTGCATCCCAAGACAGGCCACTTGCACCCTAAACTATAATCCTTACACCCCAAGCCAAGCCAAGTGGAGCTTCTGTAGGGGCACTGTCACTTGTTGGAGAAGGGGTCAAGGCTCCGACTGAATTTTGTGTGTGAGTGTTTTTTTTTAATTTTTTTAAATTAACATAAAGAGACATTTTGGTCTTTCACTCAAATTGTTTAATGAATAAAATATTCAGCTTGGTCCTTCAATTTGCTTTGGTCCTTGAGTATAATTTGTCCCTCAAGGAGGTCTTTTTAACCAATTCTCCCAAATTTATAAAGATTTCAGATACAGAAGATCCAACTAATCCTTGTGGTATCATGTCAGTGAGGAACACACTCTTTTCCCGTTTCTATCTATGCCAGAATTGAAGCAAAATTCTAGGCTTAATCTCTTACGAGCCAATGCATCTTTCTACTGTAAAAGCGAATGGATATCAAGCATGAGATTTCGAAATTGAGAATGACATCAATTTAGCCATCCCCGACCCGACGTATACTGTTCAAGGACATTATTAGTCAAACCGAATGGAACTCATGTCAGACATCCAAATATTTATCACCAGAGAAGCTGGGATCCAGAATTTGCTCCTAACTTGTTTTGCATGCAGCTCGGGCCAATTAAAATTGACATTTAAACATTTTGAGAAAGAAACGAGTCAAAATTCATGCTGAAATACGATCAATAGCTTCGAAACCAGAATAGGAAAAATTGGACTAACCCGGTGAGAAGTGAAGCTAAAAACAGAGCCATTGAGGGAGGTGGCACGGGTTTTACCTCCGAACACGTTTTGTTTGAAGTTAAAGCCAAAACTCATCGGCTTTCTAGGACATACAGGCGCAGAAACATAAGGAATCAATTTTGAGGATGCCATTTTCAGAGAAGATGAATCCATCGCAATCCAGAATCTTAAAGCAGAAACAGTTCCCGGACGTTGGAGAAATCGCCCGTCCCAACAACTGGCAACTGGGTCGCCTACCTGTCCGCCTCTCATTTGAGCGCTTCGATGGCGGTTTTTAACGCCGACATCGTCCGTTAAACCCACGATTGAGATTCTGATCGTGGGCCTGGATAAGAAAAGCATGCAACAGGCCTCTTCAGCCCAAAACCAAAAAATGGGCTTGAAAGCCCAACATCCTTTCGAAGCGAATAAGAGCTAACTCGGCTTAATTTGCTGGTTCCAATAAGAAACTCCAGTGTCGAAGTAATGTTTTTGTTGGGCACCCCCACTGAAATATTTAATAGAAATCGGAGTTGGGAGTTGGGAGTTGAGAGGTAAACGTGGGTGGAGGAAGTTTCTTGGCAGGCAAACAGAAAGATAATGGAAAAACAAAGAAAATATGCGACAAGTTAAAATATTATTTTTATAATTCGACGCAACAGGGAAATATTCGGGGAGACCTGTGCTGGTGATCATTATTCAAACTTCAAGTCCGACAACTACTCTGCGAGTAACATTGAAGAGGATACGAAGGGATATTAAAGTGTAAGCTGGGTCACCACGAGGAGGAGCATACGAGAAGTAGTGACTTGAAAGAAAAGAGGGAAGCCAAGAACGTAGACAGCATTTGATGCGAGTCAAAGGAAGAGAGGGATGGGATTACGCGTAAATTTGAGGACAAATGAATGAGCCCACGTCATCAGTGAGACTTTGATTTTGTTCACAGAGATTTAGAAATACAGAAAGAGAAGTGGCGCTGAGTGAAAACCTAGTCCTTGGCCAGCGTGCGTGTCCCCCCCCTTTTTTTTTTGGGTCAAACGTGCGTGTCCCCTGTTATTCGAGAGAAGTCACGTTCATGTGAAGAAAATGCGCGTTTGCCTTACTGCTCCCTTAATTTCTTCCTTCTATTTTATAGATTTATTTTGCTTGGTGTTCCCACTTCACAGTGGCCTTCCCATAATTGCACTCTCAACTTTGCCATACCTAACGTAAATATGAACTGTATTTTAATTTTTTCACTTATCTGTTAATTTTGAATCCACAAATCAAAAAGGATCAAAGGAAGGAGGAAGAAGGAGAAAAAATGACAGTGACCCAGGTCTAAGTGAGAGCTTGGGCTATAGAATTTGTCATAAAAATAGGAAGTATAATTAAATTTAGTGCTTTAAATTTAATATATTGGAAGGAATAAAGTTGACAATGAAATCATTGAAATTTGTAACCATGAAGCAAGAGAAAATTGAAAATTTAGAATAATTTTAATATTAAAAGTGGCTATTTTTTTATTAAAAATTTTATTTTTTTAGATTTTTACAAAAATCATTTATATAATTTTTATCTTAATATATTCAATTTGGTATTCAATTTTTTAACAAATTAAGTTGATATACATGGTAGAGCGGTAGAGGTCTCATTATTATTATTAGTACAGGTAGTTGAGGTTCAAATATCAATTTTCACACATTTAAATCAAATAATTTTTACCGACCCACGCGCTGAACACGTAAGGTGAAATACATTTTAGTATATCATTTGTGTCTCAGTAAAAAAAAAAAAAAAATTGTCCCCATTTAACGCGGGTCCTAGGTCTACAGCTGATCCTCACTTGACAATTTAAGATTTATTTAAATTTCAGTTAGGTATAATAAATTATAAAAATAATTAATTAAATGGTAGATTTTAATCATAATTGATTATGTTATAATGTAATCTGTTTTGATACTATTTTTTTAAAATTGATTTTAACAAAATTAAAGATATTTGGATAATTTAATCAGAATTAATTTTTAACTATATAAATTACTGTATAATTTAATTTTTAAATACCAAATATTACTTTTTTGAATATGTAAAATTTAAATTTTATTAAGAAAAAAGGAAAAGAAAAAAGTTTAATTTTATTTTTATTAAATTATGTGTTTTTTTTAAAATTTTTTGGGCCTTTTTTTATAATTTTTTTTAACATTTTGATAAACTTTTTGTGAAAAGCTAGTGGGAGGAGCTCATGGAGAAACGCACGTTTTGTCTTTTTAATTGATTTTTACGTTTTTGTATTGTTTGGATAATTTTGTTTAAAAAATTAATTTGGATTGAAAACGCGCATTTCTCTTCTATCTAAACACGCACTTAATCATTAAACATTGAGTTCATGTATATTATTTGTTTTATTTTAAAAACTTAGTATATATGGTCTTGGATTACAATGGAAAGAAATAATCATTTCAAAGCATAAAAACAAAGTTAATAAAAATGTCAAAATATTAAATCAATTTATGTAAATAAGTAAAATATAACTTTAAATTAATGTACTTTATTCACATTTTATTATAAATTTTTATATTTTTTATGTTTTAGATTTTTATTTTTAAATATTTTAAATTTTTAAATGAATAAAGTGTAAAAATTTTTGAAAATTTAGAACATAAAAAATAAAAATATCAAGATTTAAAATATCAAAAAAAATTCAGGATTTCATAACAAAATGCAAGTACGTGTAGGGATTAAAGTTATGATTCCCGGAAAAAAACGTGATTTCATAAAGTAAGAGTTATAGCACGCGGGTCAAGAAAAAAAAGAATAAAACTGAAAAAAAAAAAATTCATGCTGAGATTATTAATGAATTCTGGGTTGATTCCTGCCTTTCATGCGAATGCATGTCGTGTTTCTTTCTTTGCAAATTACTCAACCGACATAAACGCCCTTTGCCTTCTCGCTACCACGTGTACTTACAGTTGGGACAGCTCTCTGTTCATCTAGCTCTCACTTTCTCATTCCTTAAATGCCACAACAGCACCAGGTCCCTCCGCTCGGCTCGGCTCCTTATCTTCCTCTGATTTGATTCGTTCCACTGGTCACAATACCCCACGCATTACAACTCCCATTCGCTTTTTAACTCTTCAAAATATCTCCCTTCTTTTCTTGATCTTACGCGGAGAGCACGCCAGATCCTTTACCCTCATAAATCCATGGAGCACTCGACTCTGAGGTTAGTTCCTCATCGATCTGTTATCTATTAACGTGTTCCCCTCAATCGATTTTTTTCTCCCTCCATAATTCAGTGTTTTTTGTTTTTCTCTTCTCCTTCTCTCGAGCTTCACGCCCACATATTCGTTTCCTTATTTCACAAGTTTCTATTTTTCATTCCATTTGAAAGTGAATTGCGAGCTTTCCTCTTCTTTCATGCCTACCGCAGTTTCTCGGTCGACACGCTTGTTCTTGAACATTTCGCTGCTCCTAGTTTTGTGTGCTTTTCTGATTATTTGCCTCCACTCTTCGGAGCTCCCTGTTCGGCGGAACCGTTCCGCCTTAGGCGGCGGTGCTGACCATGATTGCAAGATGTTCCACACTCTAGAGGACTACAGAGCCAAGTGTTTGTTCCTAAAATCCAACGACCCATGCGTTTCGCAGGGCTATATTGACTATCTTTACCTTTTCTACTGCGATCTGGGTCGATTCCCTTTGTTGGGTCACTCGCTTCTCTTCCTTTGGCTCCTAGTCCTGTTTTACCTGCTCGCCAATACAGCTTCCGAATACTTCTGTTCCTCTCTTGAAAATCTGTCGAAATTACTGAAGCTATCCCCTACAATTGCTGGAGTGACCCTTCTTTCTCTCGGCAACGGTGCCAACGACGTTTTCGCCAGCCTCGTCTCCTTCAATGATAGTGAGACAAGCGACATTGGGTTCAATACGGTCATTGGGGGTGCTTTCTTCGTGTCCTGCGTCGTGGTTGGAATTGTAAGCATCTCAAGTCGCCGCAGGGGGATTCAAGTCAGAAAGATGACTTTGTAAGAGATGTTTGTTTTCTTCTTTTCGTTCTTCTGTGCTTGCTTGTAATATTGATCATTGGCGGGATCAATTTTTTTGGAGCAGTGGGTTTTACTTTGATATATATCGTGTATGTTTCTGTCGTTTATGTCTCGTCCACTCGCTGGAATGGTGTGTCTGGAGATTCTGAACGGAATGGTAATTATCCATGCTATGACACAGACTTAAGTGTGCCTCTTGTCGTCGGCATGGAAGAAGGCGTATTTGATTGTAAGAGGAGAGTGATGGAGAGTTTGGCCCGAAAATCGATAAATGTTGCTTTATGAGATCATTGCCATGCCAAAAAGCACTTTGGGTTCTACATATGCCCCTTTACTTGCCAAGGAGATTGACGATTCCTGTTGTTTGTGAAAAAAGATGGTCTAAGCCATATGCAATTTCTTCAGTAATACTGTCACCTCTTCTCTTATCTGTAATATGGATCCCTTGCGAGGAAAACTGTTTCTTCAGTAAAGATCTAATCATTTATGGAATTGGATTGTTGATTGGGATGATATTAGGAGTAACTGCCTTTTTCACAACGAAGAGCGCAAGGCCACCAAAAAACTGCCTCTTCCCTTGGCTTGCAGGAGGGTTTATAATGAGTGTTGCCTGGAGTTATATTTTAGCTCAGGACTTGGTGGGATTGTTGGTTTCACTTGGCTACATATGTGGAATAAGTCCTTCAATATTGGGGCTCACAGTTCTTGCCTGGGGAGATTCTCTTGGGGATTTGATGACAAATTTGACAATGGTGTTGAAGGGTGGAGAAGGTGCTCAAGTAGCCATATCAGGTTGTTATGCTGGTCCCATCTTCAACACTCTTATTGGCTTGGGCTTGTCTCTAGTAATCTCTACTTGGTCGGAGTACCCATCATCTCTAGTGATCCCTTACAACCCATATCTCTTGGAGACATTGGCGTTTTTTGTCGGTGGACTGGTTTGGGCACTCGTGGTTTTAACAAGAAGAGATATGAGGCTTGATGGAGTCTTGGGAGGAGGGCTTTTAACTATTTACTTTATTTTTCTGTTTCTGAGGCTGATTCAGACGCTTGGGCCATTCCAGTTTCATGACAATATACTGAGATGATATTTTATGAATCTTCGATTAGATTTATGTAGTTATGTAAATTCATTAGCAATTACGTACCCATTTGCGTGTTTTGAAGTGTAGATAAATCTTAAGGAGCATAACGTCAAGAGACATGACGAGAAAAGGCCAAAAAGGACACAAAATACATTAATGTGACTTGGTTTTTCCCCCTTTCATCAAGGTGATGCACTAGATGCTAACAGTAATCTAAGTTGTCTCCTAGTTCGGAGGCGATGAACTTGAAGGGACAAAGTATTTATGTATGGAATCCCAAATTTCGGGGTAGCCTTTGTCAATTGGACATCAATTTTGTTAAAGAAGTCTTTAATTTGTTTACTGTTAAAAGTCTGGAACCAGTTTCTGTCAGCAGTGCTTTGTCAAGAGCTTAATTCCAGGCAAGATATTACAAATATTCCAGTGGATAAGGTCTATTGAAGCAGGCAGCCGAATGGCCTAACAGAACAACCGTCCATCAAAGTTGCATGAGATGGAACTTAGAGTATACTTGGGTCCAATAAGAATCCAGTTCTTAATTCTCTGTCAAAAATGTCTGCGCACAGGTGGCCCCGAGGATGACATCAGAAAGCATAATGCTTGTGCTGTTGAAATTTTGTGAAGGGGGAAGTACGATACAGAAAATAATGAAGTGGTTATTGAAATTGGAAGTTGAAGAAAAATAAATAACTATGTCGATCACGAAAGCAAAATTATTTTTTCCTTGCGAAGCAAAATAAATAACTATGTCGGTCACGAAAACAAAATTATTTTTCCTCGCGTTTATAAACGCCAGCGCTGGAACTATAGATCCCCAGATGTCCCCATTTAGCATGTGACGGACAGGAAATTCCCAAAGACGATTTGTGAGTCTTAACAAATTTGGTGAATGGCTCATTTCGAGCCCAGGGCAAAGTTCAACCAAAAGGAATGATCTTGGCACCAAATGTTGTCTCCCATCATTTTGTCCTTATTTCCTATTCGTAAAATTGACCCCATGTCGTCATTCTTTTCAGAACTCGTTTCTATTCGTCCAACAGTATCTATCAATTGATTGCAAGTTGAAACCTGAATGGTCTGTTTCACATTCAAGTAATCATTCTTTTCCTCAAGGCTTACGGATTTCCTCAATATTCCAAATTTCCAGTGATCACTTCTTCTCTGTTACTGTTCACTCAAACGAAAATCTAACGGTCGGTCAATATTGAAATCCCCTAACATATTTGAAGATTTGCATTAATCAATTACAAATTCTAACTGACACAATAGTGCAAATATTAAGTAATCTTTATATTATATTAACACTATTTTTGAAATGGAACACTAAACACAATATTAACTGATATGATAATTATTACCTTTATCTTAATTTATAACATGTTTTTGGGAAGATTTAGCATCTCCAAAATATAATATACTTAGACAAAAATAAAATTTTATTTTTTATATCACCCTTCTCATTATATTATCCCTCTTTAATATTATTTTAAAAATAGAGTATTAAATAAAATATATTTTTAAAATTTTATATTTTTGTTTTGAAAAAAATAATGTTATAAAGCATATGCTAAAGTACATATTTAATTTTTTGACTTTATAAATATTTTATTTTAATTCATTAATTTTATAAAATGTATTTTAGTTCTTTAACGGTAATTTCATTAATAAAAATTTTCTACATTAAATATTTAAATATTAACAAAATATTGTTAAATGTTAACATATTAAGTTTAACTTTTAAAAAATAATACTCTCGTTTAAAAATGTAAGGTATTTTTTAAGGAGTTGGATGTTAAAAAATATAAAAAATTTTTAATCTTTCGAGATGTAATTATTACTTTTTTTAAAAAAAGTGACCCTATTGATTATAACTTTATATTTATTGTAGCGTGTTTAATAGGATAAATATAAAAAAATAGGGTTAATTTAAAAGTAAGTAACTATTTTATTGGGGGGAGATTCGGTTAAAAATATCTTATATTTTTAAACAGAGAGAGTAATGATTAGCACAAAAAATAACTATTTTAAGCCAACGGTTTTATAATTAGAAGACTAAGAAAATACTTTTAAAATTAAAGAACTAAATTAAATTCTTATATAAAATTAGAGAATCAAATATATATATCTCAATCTAAAATGTATTTAATGATAGTATGCATAGCATTTAGATATAGGATTCGGGAGTAATTAGCATTTTTTTTAACTTTTTTCATATCGATCAAGTAATTCTTCTTATTTATGATCTGGCTACAGGCATGCCACTACTGATTGAATTTGTGACTCGGCCATACATATACTCCATTGTTAATAAATTATCCTAATACTATATATAAAATTAAAACTAGCATTCATATAGCTTTCCCGTTTTTAATATGCGTGTGTTTCTTTTTTAATTTTGAAAAGGTTAAATTAAACCTAATTCAATAAAAACGACCACTACTTACAAAATTTAAAATTTATTCTATCATTCAGCATTTATAAATAAGTTTCTATTTTCTTTAAGTTTCACATATCTTAAGCAAGTAATTGAAAATTTCACTTTCAATTACATATAAAACAATCATAATTAGATATTAATCCTTTTTACCTTTAACCACACTACTACAAAACACATATATCAAAGCGGGTCTTTTGGAGCGTTAAAAAAAAAATACTCTAAAAAGTTGAGACGAAACTCATCACAATATTTTTTATTTAAGACACACTTATAAATTAAATATTTCAGAGCGCTCAAATAAAAAACATTCCAAAACATATGATAAAAAATTTTAAAAAATTACATCTTTAAGAGTGCTCATCATATAAGCACCTCTAAAGGTTTAAGCCTTCCTAAGTGCTCTCAAAAAAAAGCTCCTATAGGTCAATTTTTAATGCATACATATAGGAGTGCTTTAATGTTCCTATATTTAAAACATATGGTAGCACTTTACAAAACACTCCCTTATATTTCAAAGCGCTTTATATGGAAGTGCTTTTGGTTTAAAAAAAAAAAAACCATTATTGTAAGTTTATTTTATAATAGTGCCAATGAAACATCAATCACAACCAAAGGTATATTCAAATCAAACTAATTGATTTGAAAGATTTACATGTCTAATTTACTACGATTAACTAATCAATTTTAGACTTGAAAATTTGAGATAGGTTATTAATATCTTATCGACTTACTGTTTCACTAATCAAATGGAACACTAAACAGTTTTCACAGAAGCATAAGCGATGAACACAAGTTAAGAAACTTCTTTCTCCCAAGACCTGAGCGCGATTCTCAGTAAAAGCAGCGCAAAATTCAACACGACGACTTTACAAATAAAACTTTAATCGGGCATGAAGATTTTCTTCTGAATACTAATTCCAAAAAAAATTTCTTGAAAAAAGTCACAACCACCATATGCACATGGTTTCAGACATTTCATCCAATTTGTGGATAAAATCAAGCAACATAAAAGCAGTAATAATGGTTCTCTCAATCAGATAAACTACATATTATACTCAGACTAATCAAGCAACCGCACATTGTGTTATTGTCTTGGGTTATATAGCGTTTAACCGGAGTGAAAAGTGTACGTCTGTTCCACTTAAAAGTTCCATGGCTAGGGGTTAAACTCCTTATCCTGATGGCATGAAACAAATTTTCACTCCCATCCACCAACCTATTTGTCCACAGAAGTTACCACGTACCATCATTTCGTGTTCCTTCCTAGTTTGGAGGTGTTCTTTGGGACGTAGTAATGCTGCATCTCAGTGGAAGGACCACCAAGAAAACCAAATGACTCATAAGCCTTAACAAGATGAAGACGTAAACGAAGAAAAATATCAGGAAACTATCCATACTCCTCTATAGTTTGTCAGTCAGTTTAGCAAGTGCTTCAAGTATAGCCCTTTCTTGCTCCTAGACAAAAAATATCCCACGTGACATATTATTTCATCAGATTTTGCATGTAGACGACTATTTTAGGTAATATAATGCACCTTGATTGACAGGAGTTACCCTAAGGGTACATTTAGCTTTATCAACCACAATTGGGTCAAGTTTCTCTCCATCGAAGAGCATCTTCTCAACCTGCCAAATACAAGAAAATTACATACTGCAAAGAGACCAGCAATTCCAATATATGTTTTCTACCCTGTAACAGCAATTACAATATATGTCAATAATTCATAATGAATTCAACACCAAACACAAGTGCTTTTTGAATTTGAACAATACAATAAAGAACAGGTGCTTTTTGAACAGGGAAAATGGGTAAATATCTTGCATCACTTATATAAGAACAGGTGCTTTTTGAACAATACAATGGAATAAAGAAAATTTATTGCTAGGTGTAAGAAAGCATTGAAAAACATAATGCAGCAGAACAACTTTATTTAATAAGGACAAAACAACAATGATTAGTAAACCAACGTAATATATAATTCATGCTCACAGTGCTATACTATAAAGAAAGTTAGAGGAGACCAAATACAATAAAAACCAAATCCAGGTACCAGCCATACATAGGAAAGCTAGCCTTCAACAGGAAATAACATTAATTTCCAGGCATTCCATAAATTGCTGTAATACACGTATAAAGGATGTAGACAAAGTCTCCCGAAAAAAGGAAAAGGAAAGACAAGAGAAAGCAAACGAGGAAAGCAGCATACTTTCCCTGAATTGTAGTAGAAAATTAGATTCAACCCTCACATATGATATGGTTGTCATCAGCATTGAAATGTGGCTGCGCCAGCAAAAAAGTGTGCTTTGTGGTAGTCTACTCTACATTCACGAGTTGCAAGAATATCCAATTTTATTTAATGGAGCATTAAATTAAATTCCAGTAAAGATAGCAATAGCACAACAACAATCAAATATAGATACAAACAAAGCTTTCGCCTTACATTAAGTGTAACCCTGTTTGTTGCATGCATCTCAGTAACATTGGATCTACTCTCTATGTTGCTAAAACCAGATTTGTCAAATCCCTTCTCTAATTGATGTTTTATTTTCCCCAATCCCTGAACTTTATGTTTAATCATTCCTGCAGACTGCTCCGAACTTCCACAGGAGAACATGGCTAGTTCAGCTGTCTTTCGATCAGCTTTAAATTTTGGCTGGCATGGAATGACAATCAGGAATTATAACAATGGTTCAATTGTCACCGTTTAGCAATATAAAATAAAGTATCCATGAGGCTCTGATAGCAGAAGGCATAGATATTTTGCACTTGTCTAAACTCTTTAGATATATCTCCTGATTCGCAGGGAATAAATAACTGCAGATGGATATTTTCCTGATACAAGAGCCAGTACTACTGTTGCCTTGTCATATATTATACTATATATTCGGCTTTCTAGGTCTCAATATGACACATTCTGTTTGGAAATACGCCTTTAGATACACCAAAAACAAATAAGCGCATGTTAAATCATCCCTCAATGCAAACTCCTTTTTGTATTCAATGAGTTCCTCTAAATTATAAAGATGATTCTATAGGTTTTATTCCCTGAGGAAAAATATCATCATTCGTTTTGGAACTAACACAAATGATTGAGCTCAGACACAGTGATTAAAATGGAATAGACTGTTAGCCTATTAGGTTTGTTTAGCAAGAGCTGGGTTTGGAAGGCTCTTTCAAGTTAGAGAATATTTTCTTTTTGATAGAATTATTCAATTGTTTGAGTAAGATAAACCGTTTATATTAATCTTCACTTCTACTCACAGGCACTGAAGAAGGAATAGGAAAAGCTGCATGAGAGGATTGACAGAGTAACATATTCTTCTGAGGAAGATATGCAAAAGGAGATGAAGTCTTCATCATTATTGAAGAATTTTGCACTGAACCAGAACCATGCCTGGGATTGTTGACTTTAACACAATTTTCAGCATGAGTTGGCAGTGTTCTCTGCTCCCTGCATCATAAAATGTTAAAGGCAGCGCCAGCATCCACATTACATAGTCATAAAAATTTGGACAAAATTTTATTCATAAAGAAAAATCAAGATTATCTCAAATGGTGCCGCCAGAGACAGTACCAACGAAAATCATTACAAGCACCTTATCCTTTTAACTGACTCATCTGAGTTGACTGCAATTAGGATCGCCCCATGTTCTGCATCTGTGACATTTAGTTCCTTCCGCAGATCAGATATAAGCCCCTCTTTGCCCTACAAATAAAACAAAATTTCAGCAGATACCCTAGATATAAAGGGAAAATACAAAGACAGATTAGAGTATAACAGGTTTTAGATTGATATTTACCCAAGAAAGAAGATCAGATTGAGCAATGAAAGCTTTCAAAACAGAGCTGTAAGCTTCAATTTCCAGGCTGTGAATATGATGTTCCAAATACATTAGATCCCTTCTCCCATGACGTTCTGTAGTCAATGACATTCTCTCAATTTGATACCATGATCACATGGGGAAGTCTTACGTATTGAATTAGAACATTATGCCCCTTAAAGAGAACTGTCATTAACCTAGAATTAACATTGACATCCGGCAACAATTATGTGATATGACTTCACACCATTAAGGTGCTTTAGGGTCTAAGGTGCTTGATGTCATCTTAGATACTAGCAAGCGTAGGATGACAGCGTTTTAGATATGAATCTCTCATAGACTCATAACACCCAAAAACTAAGGGGATGCCACATCATACCACTTTTTAGCTTCAGCAACTTTTATGAAATACCAATTGTATCCTTTCAATGACAACTTTCAATTATCATACAACCATGAAAATCTTAAATATTATGGTATCTAATACCATAGCATCCAAGATACCAAGGAATAAAGATAACTGCCCAAGGGATAGCTCCTACATTGATTGAGAATCCTATTAAAAAAATGTGATGAAGCTGGGGTTATTAGAACATGGTAAATTGATCACTATTCATACTTAGAATAATGAGGTAGGACTTCAGTTCTTCTTTCTTTCTCAATTTTCCAATGATAAGTCAAAGTGTACCAGAGGCTAATGATATAAAATAATAAAATACGCAAGAATGTATACAAGAAATATTAGGAATAACACATATCTAATGATATTTAAGGTCATCAAATAGGGGATTAACCATAAAGACATAATGTTTAATCGTTTGTTTAGGCATAGAGCAAGACATATACATTAGTCATTGGATAACAAGTTGACCCAGGAGCAACCAAACAAATAAAACTTAACATCGTATGTCATATCATGACGAAGAGGTATTACACAGGTTATAAATGCCTCAGCCTGGTGCATTTACCAGGACATTTGATGAATGTTTGCAGAGAAACACCTCAAGCTTTAAGACTTCAAGGGACGTTTATACATGCTTGAAGGCTGAAATAGTTCTGTATTTGGTTTGTCAAATTATTCTTATGGCTAAATTAAATCAGGGGCAAGGTTTTCTGGTTTAAGAAACGTAAATTTTGCAACTATAAAATTACGGTTTTGAGAACTCCATCCTTTCCCTCTTAACTCTGCACGTCTTTGTCATGATTTCAAGAAGGGGAAAAATCTTCCTATGCAATAAGAGTAGATAACCCTCACACACCTTTTGTTGCATCAAGTGGGGTGAAATATTTGAACTGAGCAAATAAACAATGTATAACCAAATGTGAGTACTCATTTTGTCATTCAGAAATTTGTCTTATGGGACGTGAACTATTAATAATAACTATCGAGACGCCTATAATCTGTGCAGGATTATGATTATAATTATAACAAAAATAGTAATTATCTATAAAAAAAATGTTTCCAACTTTTTTGCATCTACATGCCAGAAAATAATCATAAGTTCAACAAGTCAACAGGAGTCCTGGGAGCACATAAGTACTGTCGGCAACTACACGAACCATTCAAGTGACACTTCAAACTAATATTTTTATTTCATGAGAACAATCGATAGATATGCCGACTATACTAGCGTGTTGTTCGAATTCTTGACAAATCCAATTATTACCAAGAAAACAAATAGGAGGAAAAAAATTCAGGCACGGTGAATTCCTCAAGAAGTGGCTTGCTAAAACTGAACCATAAATAATGAGAAGCCTGGCCCGGCCACGATGCTGTAATTTACCATTCCCAATGTTTGATCCTTCAAACCACTACACAAAGACAGGCCAAAATAGCCAATAAGCCTATATAAGTATATAACCGAAAGCTCTATTATCCTCCACCGTTTACGTTTCGGATCCCAGGTATACAGAGATTTCAAGGACCAAGACCATTTTAATGAGGCTTATTATCCCAGGCCCGCATTTTCTCCACCGCCGAACAGGAAGTGCGAGAAACCCATAGAACACCTCGGGGGCAATTACGATAAGTGACAAGGATAAGAAAGAGAAGACACGAGCAGAAAGTAGAAAATGGCTGAAGGAGGAAGCTTACCCATGGCATCGTGCTTCGGCTTAGCCAAGTCCATTACTGTCACTGATGCCGTCTCTCTTCTCGCTTACTCGGGCTTTGCGAACAACACAACCGTTCCGCGGACCCAGCCCAATGCCCTCTTCCCCAGTTCTCCTTGCCCTCCTTTCCCGAGGAGCAGAACAGGCAGCTTTCTTCTTTTCTTTTTTGTTTTTGAATTAAAAAGGGAAAATTCATCGTCGGACACATTCGCAAGTTTTCACATTTATTTAAACAAATCTACAATTAATATAAAAAATATTTAATTTAATAAAATTTTATCATACCCCATGTAACGCATGGAGGAGCTAAGATCCTTTGTTCCACTGAGAAGTAACTCCTCAAGGCATTTTTAAATTTATGATAGGAATAGACAATACGTTATTTTTAAAGATCTTTTATCAGAATAGAAAGATATTCTCTGAAATTTGATTCTATGGATCTATTGTTCTCATCACTTGAATTGTATTTTAAGGCATTCTCGATCTTTGATGTTTTGATGGGCAAATTTTGGTTAAGACAAATGCCTTATATTAACATTAATCTGAATATTCAAAAAACTGTTTAAAGCGAAAAAGAAAGGGAGGTTTTGCACCATCAAGGTTTAGATCGACTTGTGAAAATAATATATATATATTGATTATTTTGTTAGAAATGCTTTTTAGTTTTGGTGAAATCTTGTGTATATTTGATTATCTACTAATCCCAACTGAAACTCTGCTGAATGATGGGGGATTAACCCCTCAGATGAGCTATGACGTCATGTATCATTTTTAGGCTTTTATTTTCAGTATAATTCGAAAAGAAGAAGAAGAAGGCTTAGACCGAATCTCGTGCCGGAGGGCTGGAAGCTGAGTGGTAATTATCACGATCTGACCCGGGCTAGGTAATTTCATTTTTGCCCCCGATTTTATGTGAATGTGCTATGTGGTTCTGTGTTCTGCCCAGGGAAGATAGAAATTAGAAAGGGAGAAAATCCCCATTACCCCTCAAGTACTCTACCCGAACTCGAAGCTCGAGACCAGGCCCGCGTCACTTCTCCTTGTCGAGCCGTAATCTTCATCATCTTGGGCTGTTACCGGTGTCTCGGTCACTTCTCGGCATCATATGCTCTACCTCGGTGTTCTCTGCATCTCTATCTCTCACTCTCAGGTCGTATAATCCCGATCTCTGTGACTTCGTAGCTTGGTCCTTGCTCTCCGCGTTTCATTCTCCCAATCTCTCTACCAACCACAACTCCCTCCTTGCCTCCAGGTTCTTATTCATCCTTCTTTCTAGCCCGCTATTCTCCTTGCACGCTCTCTGTGTTTCGTCTCTAGATTTTTCTGTTGATGGTTGCCTGGTTGGAGAAAGCTAGATCATGAACTGTGCAATTGATTAATTCTCTTAAAAAATCGGTTTTCTTCATCTATACCTCTATAGTTCTATTTTCGCGTCCTTGTTAAGAAAACTGCTTAGGTACTTTTTTGTGCTTGACTCTGTTGATTCTGCTATACATCTGGAAAGAAAAAGAGTAATTGAAAACTTATAAAAAGATTTGTTGGGCTACAAATACAATCCATGGACTATTTTACATGGTTGAGGTGTAGCCATCTAAACCCCCAAGTTAATGCATTTAGTTTCCATTGATCTCTATATTATTTACTATAGTTTTCCTTCTAAAACAGATATGGGTTACTTGTTCTTAACTTTTATCCTTGTATATATTTAGAATTTATATCACGTATGCAGACAGATTTTAAACTTCGCGATTACTAGTTTCTTTGATAGAAGAAATCATTTGTTGATTAGGGTGAATAAGGGTTGGAGACTGACAATTTGAAGGCAGGAGAAAAGCATTGGAATTTTGTGCAAACCGGTTAAAAAGCATCAGATCCGGGGAACCCAAAATACGAACTTAAGCTTTTCGAAAGAAGCTTCGGATTTAGGAGTCGCATCTTTACAACTGGCTGATAACTCATTCCTTCATTGATGGCTGAAGAAACGGCACCAGGGCAACCACTTCCTCCCACAGTGAGCTCGCATATAGAAGCTGAAGAAACGGCACGAGGGCAACCAATTCCTCCCACAGTGAGCTCTCTTTTCCATCTTGTATGTGAATGTCAGTACATGTAGCTTTAATTTGTATCTGCTCACTTATTTGCAATATTGATTTCATTTATGGGGCAGTATTTGGAGGTAACGTGCAAAAGTTCTGGTAAGACTCGTCGATTTGCGGCAGGAATCGATGCTGGATCTGCGGTGTCTTTGATTAATAGGAAGTTGAAGTCAAGGAGTGCACGTGCTTTGCATATAGAAGCTGTTAAAGAAGGCGAAGAGCCCATTGCTTTTGGCCCTAATTCAGTTCTAGTTGATTATGGGGATGGCTGGAAGTTGCTGACATTTACAGAAGCTGATGAAGTTTTGATTGAAAATAATTTTGAACCAGTGCCATTGCCAATTCCAATGCGGACACCAGTAAGTTTGGTGTGTGTATTAAAAAAAAAAAAAAATCTTGCAGGGAAATGTTATGTTTCAATATCTTCTCTTTTGGGGATAATCAATATTCTGTGGATATTTATTTCATTTAGAATCTGTATCGAATGCTATTGCTTATATGCTTTCATTTGGTTGGCTTGCCTCTAGGTTTCAGGTGGCTTGCCTCCTAGAAGGAAGGTGTCCAAGCCAATCAGCTTTTTATACTTGGTTAAGATAGTGCTTGCGTTTATTTTTATTTTTGCACTTGGTGCAATTTTGACTTTGGCTCTTGAAAATCTTCCTGCACTGATATTACTTGTAAAGTCATCAATTTAGACCAATTCATATGTATTATGATTGATTGTGAATAAAAGGGGTCCATCTCCTGCCGACTGTTGTGAAAATGGAGTGTCTTGCCTACTGTTCCAGCAATTTGGTATTGATTTGTCCACCACCAAAGTCAGCTAACGATTGAATTGCACTGTTACACTTGTTGGGAAGAAAAAAACTGATGTATAAATTAATGAGAACCGGTGGGGAAAATGTGAAGAAATGGAATAATGATAATATGGCAGTTATAACTGTTCATTCAGTATTTTTGTGGAACTTCGCAATTGATTGTGGGTGGGTTGATGTAGAATGTCAACCAACGGAAACCAAAATTTTGTAAAATCTGTTCACTCCTAGTTGATGCAAACCTGTTTGAGGAGCTATGCTACATTGCTGATGTCAAGGTCTACACTGCTGTAGTAAACTGCCGCCGGGTCAAGCATTCCAAAATGGCTTGAATGAACAAACAACAATATTTGGACAACGAATTGAATCAGAAGATTGTGACGAGCTAGAGCATTAGATTTCAGAAATCCAAGGTGGTCGACTGGTCGGAAGTAATTTTAAATTTATTTTTTAAAAAAAATATATATGGAATTCCTGGTGTCGCTTTTTAGTTTTAATATATCTTTCCTGTTGGAAAAGAAAGGGGTCTCTTCCGTGTTTTGTTTTAATCGCCTGACTACTAAATATTGAAACTTTTTATAAATTTTATAATTTATATTGATATTGACATTGATAATATTTGATGTATTTACCAGGAATTTGGTATATGATAAATGAAAATAGGAAAAAAAAGTAAGAATAAGTTCTGGAAAAAATTCAGATTCATGGACTCTTTTGGTTTTTTTGTTCTTTGAAAATTTTATCCGAAAAAAATAAAAGTAGCTTCTAACATTAAAAATCACTTTTTAAAAAATGTTGACCTCATAGGATTTTATGTATTTAGTCCTATTTATTCACCCGTGTCAGATCCAACCATGTTTGGGATCAACAAAGTGTTCCGTAAAGTATGTTTACAAATGTCATAGATTTGAACAAAAAGAAAATCAACAAAGATGACGCACAGGCTCCTGAAGAATGAAACCCAATTTGAATTTACAAATTATATTTACATTGTTTGAGCAATCTCGCAACTTCACCCCACCCACGGTAAGACATAAATGTAAAATTTAGAACACACACATTTTCTAAAATATAAAACTATTAATTACCGAGCTAAACAGCTTGAGATGCATTTTCTGTACAGGAATTACAGTTGCACTTCGCGGGGAAGAATTTTTTTCTTGGGGTTTTGGCTAAAAATCCCATGCAGAGTTTAAGCTAGACAGCTTGTGGAAGTACGATACATTTCATCCGCACGAGATACAGGAACATAAACTGCATCTCTTAGAGAACTGTGGGTTCTGCCATAGAACACGTAAACAAGCACTCCCATGGCAAGCCATATTGACACACGACCCCATGTAGCAGCTCTGCATGAAAGACACGCAATCATTAGACAAGTGAAGCAATATCCACAAGAAGAAACAATCCTATATTCATTCGCTTACCCAAGATTAATAAGCAAGTAGGAATTGATGAGAATGCAAGCTATGGGCAGCAGTGGCACCAACGGGCAAATAAAACCTGTAAAGGCAGAGATAATAGAGTTATTGATTATGCCTAATCCTCAATGAAGCAAGGCTTTTTTAGAGCATACATTTTATTTCCAAGTCAAGAATAGCCCAAGTCAGAAAACTCAATAGATATACGAGACCAGTGAAAGACTGAAAGATCTATTTAGATGGAGACATTGATATCAAATGCAATTTTCGTGCAAGACTTGGTATAAATAGCGGAGCTTAATATAGATTTTATGTTGTTATTACGTTAGAGTAAGATACCCAATATAGTTTATGAACCATAACAACTTAATTATACCTCCAGAGTACCCGAAACTGTGTCTTGCATCATCTTGATCTATACAGGTTAAGAAGATGAGACCAGATAGAACAAGAATGCCACCCACACCACAAAACATGAAACGAACAGATCTGACAATAGCAAACAAAAAACGTTGTAACCAGCAAGAACATCAAGTATACCATAAAAACGTGATGTGCCATTGTTCTAAACGCAACCATAGTTATGGTTTTGTAATCACCATCCTGCATTATCAAAATCCTCCTTTTTCCAGGGAGAAAGGCCAGTCCTTTTTGGTCCAGTTTCTTTAAATTTCAAATTAGCAGCTGAACATTTTAGGAATTAGTTTATATATCAAGCAATTAACATACTGTCGTAGAATGTAGTACAACTTGGAAAATATTAAACACAATCTGCCATTAAACCAACCTGATAAGACTTAAATCCGAAGCTGCATATGTGAGAATAAACACCCCTAAGCATGTGAGTGTTATGATCCACCCAACGATTTTTCTCCTATTACTTTCATCTAAGCCTGCATCCATAAAAAAGGAATCGGAAGGGGACAATAGGTGCCCGATAGCTTGAGGAAACGAGATGCCATAAGTTAATCAAATTATAACCAGAATGACAGTTTGAACGAAGTCCAAAACAACCCCAATTATGTGTATCATGTTTAAAACATATTCTGGATTAGTTAAAACATAGGTTGCATACTTCAAGAGCTAATATGTTTACATTTTTACTCCCTGATTTCTGTTGCACATGTCCAGGGGAAAAAACTGCTGTGGTTATACTGGTACAATACAGGTAATAAAGTGAGTTTTTGAGAAGGTTAGGCATGACTCACAGTTACCTATGGCAAAATGTCGAGAAATAAGTGGACAATTGATTGGCATATCCTCTTTGGTAACCACAGCTTTGATGTCCTTAGAAATACCAATATTTGCCTCTCCATCTTCACCATATCTGTCATCACCAATCAAACGGTCTTTTGATGGTACTGAATTATTTGATTCCTGGAGAGAAGGTGGTAATGGGACCTCATCTGGAGGGATATATCTCAATATCAATACAGATATTGCAACCATGGTGAATGCAAGAAGCGTACCCACACTAACCTGCAACAGAAGCAGATTCCATTTACTTTTACATATGATGATCAGGGAACTGACCACGGAACAACAGGCATGCATTCAGAACTAACTTATAATGCCTATTTATAACGACTAACAAGCATATTCTTGGCCGCTATATGCTTCGTTGATTTCAAAATAGAGAGAAATAGAAAGAAAAGAAAAAAGATCTCCAGGCTTTTATTTTGAAAAATAAAATGCTTAGGGGTTTCATTTTAGCCAATTTGCATTTAGCATCAAATAAGACTGGAACTCAAGAATTGTGCTTTGCATAATTGTAATAGAAGAACTGAGGCTTCCTCCATTTAATAAAGTGTCAATCAGTATAGAAACTTTAAATGGATGCTTTTCAAACATAATCGTAGCTAGCGATATTAGTGCATCCTAGCTGATGCAAATGTTGCCTTACCATCCCAGCCAGTTGAGAGACATCCATTAAAGATGCCAAGATTGCAGCTACAAGGCCGGTAACGACTGTGCTCTTAACAGGAACCTGGCTGAACTTGTTAATATCTGAAAAAAACGGTGGCAGCAGCCCGTCCCTTGCCATAGCCATCAAAATACGAGGCTGAGAGGTGAAATAAAGTATACTGATATCTTTAATAGGCAAACAAAATACTTCAAGGAAAGAAGTAAAAATTAATTTTGACAACTGCAAAATGAAACAAGACACAAAACAACAATGCATAGAATTTACCTGGGGGAGTATACCACCCATCAATGATGCACAGAGAGCTGTAAAAGCTCCTGCGTTTATTATGTAACTGCAGTAACAACCAGGAAAGTCACTTAGGTAAATCCTACAAGTCTATATCCATTTCATCGCCAATATAAGGGGGGCCAGGGAATAGGAAAGAAGGAAATGATGCACCAATTGCAGAATTATAACTCACGCTGCCCATTGCATCCCATGGTTTGCAAATGCAGAGGATATGGGGGTGTCAGGATTGATTGCATAATAAGGTACTAAGCCGACGACAACGATGGAGACCATCATATACAATGCACAACAAAGAAACAGTGCAGCCCCAATACCCAGCGGCAGATCTCGTTGAGGATTTTTCACCTGTTTGTCATGTAAAAACTATCAGGAAGTCTTCATTTCCTCAATTAAATATATCCAAAAAAAGACATGAAGTATGATCTAGGAAGAATAACTACATGACACCACCTCTTCGGCAGTGCTGGCAACAGAATCAAAACCTATATATGCAAAGAAAACTGTTGCTGAACCAGCAAGCATTCCATCAACCCCAAAGGGAAAGTAACTACAAAGCAGAAGAGACAGGAGCAAATAATCAGCGGTAATCAAACATACGCATAAGAAAGTGTAAAAAAATATGGAAAGTACCCTGAAGGAAGTTCATATCCAACCCATCCAGACTTGAATCCCAAGTAACCACCAGCTGCTATTACAAAAATCAAGGCGCACACATTCACCGATGTGACTATGCCTTGTACGGTTGTACTCTGCAAAACATTAAGTACTCAAAATAAGAAGATCTCAAAAGAAAATACATTTGGCACACAAAAAAATGAACCCAGACTAAGAAGAAATTCAAACAGAAATAGATCAGTAAAAGAAGAATGATGAGATTATCATAGAAATCAACCTCCTTGATGCCAACGCACAAGAGTCCCGTAATAATTAGTACCATAATTGCAGCACATGGGTCCACGACAATATCAGTACCAGGAATATGCTGGCGGGCTAAGAAGAAGGGCAAATGATCCATGCCTCCAAAAAATGCAGCCTAAAAATATATATTTTAGGGTCAACAACTAGATCATATGAACTTTACTTTCTGTTCAAACACATAAATTTGCAATACATAATATATGAATACATATAAAAAGTCCAAATGAAGCTCTGAGTGTAGACCAAGAAAGAAAGACGCGATCCTCTAGGAGACTGACAAAGATGAGTGTCGTAAAAAAAGAGCAGTTTACAATTCTTTATTGAATGGAATGGTAAAGCATGGCAAAATCGCTAAAGCAACAGATACTTGACATTGTAGGTTTGTACTCTAGAATAATGAAAAGTTAAGTAACAGATAAATCAATCTCAGTTTTAATCAGATAAAGAAAACTTGGGGCATGCTTAAGCTAGATAAAATCGAAAATTTTTGTATGCAAACAAGAGTTCGGCAAGACAGTTGAAGAAAACACGAGACCATGTTAGGAGATATGCCACGAGCAACAGCTGCTCCACCAATTGTATATTCCAGTATCAAGGCCCATCCAATCAACCAGGCAGCACTGCAAACGAAGATATTAATTTATCAATTTATATTAGTAAAAACTATCAACTACCAGTTGACCATGATGAGAATTTAATTAACGAATTATCAGACAACAAAGACCTCAAACTTCCAGATACCCAAAAGCAGGAAAGCATGTCTGCCTATTCACAATGAATCATAACTTTTTTCCAGAAAGAGACGCAAACCCAAATCCTAAACATCTATATCACCAGATTATTACCATAACCAGAAAAGGAACCACCAAATAAGTGACCACCTAATTAAATCTGACACAAGCATTTTAATATTTGACGAGCGGAGACAGCATATTTAGAAGCGAACAATAATATAGCATAGACCAAAGTTGGCAGTCAGATAGCGTTAGAAGAAAATCCCGGGAATCTATAGAAAGTACCCTTCCCCTACACATATGTACGAATAGTGATATGCACTTCCAGCAGAAGGACAACGACTAGCCAACTCTGCGTAAAAAAAAGCAGAAAGAGCAGCCGCTACTCCAGCTATCAGAAAAGAAAAGGCCAAGGCAGGTCCAGAATGTTCTCGAGCAACTGTTCCAACAAGGACGTAGACTCCAGCACCAATTGTCGCACCAACACCTGATCAAGACATGAAAGTCAATTTGCAAAGCAACATGGAGCCACATCAAATGTTTTAGTTTATATATATATATATATATATTTGAGAGAACGAAGGACCACAGATCAACTGGAAAGTGGAAAGCTACCGTTTCTCTCCCAAATGAGCTACGAACAGCAAACACAGAATGGACCCAGAAGTAGAACAGATGAGAAAGAAAGAAAATGATCCAACAAATAGGCCAAATACAGATATAGTCATGGGTGCAATAATAATCGGCATTAACAAAGGGAAACGTTGCCAGCGAGAAGACAGTGAAAGATCAAATTTATAAAGAAGCATTTGATCAAACACAGAATGACCGAGATCACGACGGAATAATAAAATTAACGGCTTAACATGAACAGACTGAAACATCAAACCAATGCCCAGAAACCGCCAAAATATTAATATATATATATATATTCAGAGCAAAAAGTTTTTGGAGAGAATTACCAATTCCAATCAGATGGGGAACAGATAACTCCTTGGCAAGCTGACCCTCGGTCTTTTTGTGGGCAGAATCCACTTGCTTCCTCCTAGTCAAAAACCTCAATGAACTCCAAGAACCCTGTCCTCCAAGACTCCCTCCCTCCGGAGAATCAACCGACACACCCATAAAATATATATTATATACGACAGAGTTAATCCAAGAAGGAACACAGTATCTGGAAATGATAGCTTTTCTCCTAAATTGTATGGGTCAGCCAACCCGCGATCCCATTACAACCTGCTTAAGTCTTAGAAGGAAAAGAGACAGTATTGTCAGAAAAGGGAAAGCGAGCAGGTTCAGGGGGGAGGAGCAACCATCCCTGGCTTGCTTTTGTCTTGCTCTTTCTTCCTACACACAAGGACGTGAATGATAATGATACTCCTGGTGGGAGTTCTTTGATGAGTTCAAAGTCGTTATCTTCCTCAAGTGGTCTCCGTTGGCTTTCATTCCCTTTTATAAATTCATTGCAAGAGAATAGGAAACCTGGTAAAGCAATTAATGAATAATAGCGTACATCTAGGCAGGCTGGTAGTGAATGTGATTTTACCGGTTTTGATCGTCGTAGTACAAACTTGTGCGTGTACTAGTACTCCGTATCTTGTATTCTTTCTGGTTGTAAATGTTGACTTTTAAAAAATTAATTATTTTATTTAAATATTTGATTCCTTTTAATCTTGATTTTTAAGAGTAACTATTCTGATGTTATTCGATGACAATATACTAATATAGGTATCCAGATGCTTTTTTTTTTTAATAAAAAAAAAAGAGCACTTAAAGTCGAACGACATCATTAACCTCAAGATCAAGCGAACCAGGTTGAATGTTATTACGAAGATAGAGCCAGTACGAAACTGCTACTTCAGAGACAAGAATGGAGTTAGAAGTTTAATCAAATTTCTAAGAGCGGGAAAATGTCCATGAATTAAATTAAAAAAAAAATTGGTCGCCACAAAAATAAATGCAGTTTTTTTTTTTTGCCAAAAAAAAAATGCAGTTGACCTCCTTGCTTTCCTCCCCACCGCGGTACAAGCGACATGCATCGGAATTGTTGTTGTTGTTGAATTCAAAAAGCATAGGTCTATTAAAAAAAAAAAAAGGATAGGCAACCAAGGTAGATTCTGCCAGGTATCCGTCGGCAAACAATCGTGGCAGATTTTGATTGGAAATTTGTAATTCAGGTCATAGCCGACTGGAATCATCAAAGAATCCAATGATTTGTGGGGACAGTAAAACATTATCCTTTCAGTTTTATATATAAATTATTTTCTAAAAAACATTGATAATCCTTTTTACTATAGGTCATTCACTTCTCGTAAAAAATGAATTACTAATTATTTTATTTTAATTTCATCCCTTCACAATTTTTAATGACTAAGTTAGAGGGTTACATATGAGACATAAAGTATTTTCAAAAAAAAATAATTTTTATGATAATAATAAATTAAAAATTGAAAAAATAATAATAAAATTCCTTTGAAATGTATAAATAACAATTTAATCTCTCGAAATGCAATAATTTTTTAAAAATCTCTAGAGACTTTTCTGTCATTAATAAATTTATGTAAATTATCAAATTATCTTTGTTGAAAATAAATATTTCATAAATTTTGTTTAAATATTCATAAATTTTTTTCTTATATTCACAATAATTCAATAGCAAATCATAATTTCGCATGTTAATTTCTTATTTGCTACTAACTTGGTAAATTTTGACATATAAATGGTCAAATGCACTTAGATTTTCAACTTTTAAATGATATATTAAATTTGAATGAAACTAGAGTCATTGGTTGGATTGTAAAGCAAGCTTTGTATGGGCATTTGAATCACCTCAATCAAACATCAGATGTAAAAACAACGCATGTCCAAAGTTCACACCAAAAACTGCTATTTGATAGTAAAATCTGGTGTGTGCGCCGCGGTGCATGTGTCAACATGTGACAACATGCCGCGGTGCATGGTATAAAGTGTGATGTTGATATCTCTATGCCACATGCCGCGATACATGACTCCTGTTTTAGCTTGATTTAAATGTGTTTTCTTGTTGACTTTGACGTGCTTATGCATAGTGCTTCCACTATGTAATGTTTGTGCAATCTCAAGTATTTAAATGATTTTTGAATATCTTATGTTGGAATCCCAACCTTTCAAAGAAAATAGTTTTAATTTTATGAGTAGATTGAGTGAAAAGTTGAATAGTAATGTCAATAAGGGCATTACAACTGTGGCCAACAAGTAAGTTGGGCAACCTTGATTGGGTAACCTCTCACATGTATTTGGCTAGGATAGTCTCAATTTATAAAAGATCACAATATATTATAACCCATGGTTTTATGTTAGAGGTATAAGGATGATATAAGGAAAGTGTGATCATGCATATAGTAATAAAAAGAAAAATGGTTGTTCGTATTATAATCTTGGTGATGTAAATCTTGAGATTTGTCTTATATCTATGAGAAATTGTATTATTATGCCCTTATCTCACAATTATATGCTAATATAAATGAGAATTGTGAACTAGGGTTCTTGAACTTGTTAAATGAATTGAGAACTTGCATTTGAATTGATTAGCATGCATGAGTATGAGCTAGATGGACCTTAGTTACTAAGTAGTTATACTCATCCCATTATCTTTAATATTACAGGAACTAACTTAAAAGGACAGGATAGAGAGAAACAACTTGAGGTATAGAATTACTATCCTATTTGTAAGCGTCCTTTTTCTTTTTGAGTATTAATGCATATATTCTTACATGATATTGCTAATTAGGGATGATTCATGTTGTGACTTACTTGTACTATGTCTTTTGTTAAACTATATAGTGTATTTTAGGCCCTAACATGTATATATATTGATTATAATACCTAGAGCAGGGCCAAAGTACCAATGCAAATAAGGGTTGTGTAGGATGCTTGATTGATGATGATTAATTGTTGAAATGTGAGATTAGAGCCCCCCTTCTATTTTTTTAGATTAAGGGGTTGAGTAATGAAAATATATTTTATGAGTATTGCTATTGATGTGGTATATTATACAGGTTTGTTTTAGTCTATTGAGTGTGGTTTGTAGCTTTTGGCTTGTAGTATGAATTTTGGACACAACTTATGTGTAAATGGTAAAAAAAGGTGAATTTTGAAATGTGTATCCAACTTTTGACTAAAAGATAATTTGATTGTGAAACTAAAACTATTAGCTAAAATTAGGAGAAAGTTTTTCATAAACACCTAAATCACCTTAATTAAATATTAGATAGAGAAATGTGGCATGTTGAAAGTTTGCCCAGTTGCTATCAAATAATAGTAAAAATCTGCTATCAAAATTGTGTAATGCACAGTGGCGCATGGCACAAAGGCTCACAAGCCATGGCGTAGTTGTGACAAGCTGCTGTGCATGCCTATTTTCTGCACTGATTTACTTGTTTTTTTTAATTTTACACAAATGCATTGATTTTTTTTTTAGATCCTATGCTTTTGCATATTTATTTAACTGATTTTTGATAGTGAAGATCTTTTGGGATGTTTTAAATATTAAAAATTTGGGGATTCCATTTATATAATTTGACAAGTTTAATAATTATATTGATGTTTGGAGATTAGGAAGGATTAGTAAAGATAACCTTATTTGTCTAACCTGGAGATTTTACAGCAAAATTCATAATCGACTTACTTGATCTAGAGTAATGATTAGATGTCAAGCCCTAAACACGGCTAGGGAGATAATTGATCTAGTTTAAGGAAAAGGGAGGAAACTAGGGAGAGAGGATTGGAAAATAACTGAAGGAGGAAGGGACATGGCTATCCTATGTTCCAATGCTCCAGTATTCTGAAATTGAAAGGGCAAGAGCAACAAGAGAAGGAACATGTCTTGGACAATTTTAAATCATTCTGGCTCTAATAGAAAACTTGATGTGATCGTGGTAGGTGGCAAGCTTGTTGGTTTTGAGGCCAAAGGTGGAATGGAGCTTGAAGATGAAGGAGCAAGTCTTGATGGTCTTGCCAAGGGAGAAGGGAAGGAAAAGAGAGGGGAGGGAGAGAGAGAGAGAGAGAGAGAGAGAGAGGAAGTTGGATGGTGAAGGGTTTCATCATATGTGGACATAAACGTGGCAGGCCACATCAAGTTTGACAGTAATGTGGTCAAACTATTAGACAAAGCAAAATTGTATCATTTTTTATATAAAAAAAAATTATACTTTTAAATACTTTAGGATACCAATTGAGTTCAAGATTTTAGGGATAGATTTATACTTTAATCCTATTATTTTTTCTGCCAAATATTATTTTTCTAAATACATTTCTATTATTTTTATTATCTGACTTAAATGACCTTTTTTTTCCCCCTGAAGCGTATACAAATTAAAAAACACTTAATAGGATGATAGGCGGTAAACTGCAAAGGCGTTGAACCGTGAATTATTCAAAATTTCTCTAGCTTGCACGCCAACTGTTTTGATTACTATGAGCACGAGGATCTAGCTTCAGAATCAAGTAACATCTCAAACACATGATAATCTTCTTTTCTTCTGATATATTAATTATCTCCTTTGGCCAAAAAAAAAAATGTATTACTTATCTGGGTTATGTAATTTTTTTATACCATTGTCACACATACTGACGAGTGAATTGATTCATAGATTTAAAAAATTACAAAATAGGATGAGGTTCAGGTAGCAATGCAAAGCCTGGTCCAGTCCGAATAAGTCGAGTGTGCTAAATTAATGGCTCTAATAAGTTATAAATTTCTCAACTTGACCGGTAACTTTTGTAGAAAAACTTATAAAAAATTCTTAGCTAAGCCCTAAAATCAAATCACTTGGGAAAAAATTATAAGCCCTGGGGCAATATTTATTAATGAAATTTTAAAAATTTACAACTTACTATATTTGCTTCTGCACCTGTTCTTTAAAAAAATTTATTCGTAATAAGTCAAATTAATTTGTCTACTTCACAATTATACGTAAAGTTGCCCCAAAAAAATAAATAAATAAATAAAGTTACAAACACGCACGCGAGTTTTAGGCTGTCGATGATCTATTGATCCACAGGGTTACTTGGAAATTGCAAACAACGACTTGCGTGAGGATGACCTTATCCTTTTCAGCTTTCATTTTCAATTGCGTCAAAAAAAAAAAAAAAAAAAACAATCCTCGGCCATCCTCCACACTTTTTTGGGAACTTTTCTTTTTCTTATATTTTTTTAACCTCAGTCGAAAACTTTTCAAACACGTCTAAAAAAATATATTACATTAAAAAGCGGTTCATTTGTGTGCGTATTATTTTCAACTATCAATGGAAAGATATATTCTGAATTATTACTTAAATAATAAATACAAGAATAAAACATAATTAAAATATTTTTAAAAAATAATACAATAGAAATGGAGTAAATACGAAATGTCGTCAATCAATTTTTATCGCTAAACACCGAAACTCTACTCTAAATAAAAGGACCAAACGTTGATCTTAGAATAATTTTTCG